AATGAGTGAGTGCGATAGGTCGACCGATCTACATAGCTTTGGCAGGGTATAACATCAGCTTATAGAGGAATCCATCGTCACCTACTTACATAACTATTCCGTCAAGGACGAAGCGATTAGAATAATATTCACCTAATTTCAGGCTCGTTTAATTTCTTAAAATGTAGCATATGAATGAAAATTAGGCGAGTCATTTTGTCGTTATATTTTGTAATGGCCGTCCTCCTCGTTATACTACTTAACCTTCGCTAAAGTATCTTCAAGTCCACATTAAGTTAACCTAATCCAGCTTAGTCGCCGCACACTGCTGTAAGGTTTTGTTGTAAATATTCCGGTTTAGGGACTTTTAAAGATTGTTGATAAGGATTACCATTATATTTCTATATTTATTTGAGAATAACTCCTATACATATTCGTATAGTAGTAAAACTATATATCATGGTTTTTTAAACAAATTGTTTGAACAAGGAAGTGCTATCCCGCGTTGAATAGATTTTGAAACTAATGACCTCGTTTGCAATTAAAGTACAAAGAAAAAAAGCGTATTTCTCGGCGTCACAATTTTTTTATCTGAACTTGAAATCAATAGGAAAGAATAAGATGAACTTAACGAGACACCAAACCAATAAGTAAGACAGTGGGGCGAAACTCACTTTCTTCACAGGATAGTGATGTGTTATAATTGTCAATGGTAATGTTACATCGATGTTCTGTCATCACCTAGGACAGTGGAACTTTAACTGATACTCGAGTATGTATTTGTCAATATACTGACACATATTCCTATTTTGACACCGAAATAAAGTACGAAATAATACAATGTACGGTAACGAATTTCACCATGGATAATGAACTGTTTTGTTTATGAAAACTGTATCAGTACTTCAATGTGTTTCAGTGTTGAAATGTTTGCGAAATGAACCTTGGTAGTGTCGTTAATGTACAGGTGGTTCCCTGCATTATGCCTTGTTTCATATTTTAGATTGAAAACAAAAACAAGAGGATACTGAAGAGTGAATTTACCCGTAATGTGAGCTCCAAATCGGCGTTAACAGGGTACACCATGCATAACTTTTAATTTGGAGACCTTTAAAAGTCAGAGGAAGGTAAGACAAGGGGTAGTATCGTTAATGTACAGGGACATGTAGTGTCATGCATTTTGTCTGGTCTTCACTTACACCCTCATTTGAATACGTTTATATTGAAAACAAAAACAAGAGGATACTGAAGAGTGACTTAACCCGTATTTTGAGCTCTAAATCGGCGATAACAGGGTACACCATGCATAACTTTTAATTTGGAGACCTTTACAGGTACAAGGAAGGTAAGACAAGGGGTACCGGAAATACAAGCATCTTCTGCTTAATCATCTTTTACTATCTAGGCAAATAAGCTTTTTGCACATTGTTATTATAGCAGTTTTTGCCATTTATGTTTATGCTAATATGTATATTATATGTACAGAGATTTTGTACGTTGTTATTATAACATTATAACATTTCTTGCCATTTCTGTTTATGATAATATGTATATTATATGTACAGAGATGATAACACTGCAATAAACGGCATTAAGATTGTTGAAATGAATACCCTATGATATTACCCTACCCCTGAATTGCCGTTGCCAACGTCTAAGTGTGTCTCCTGTAACAGTATATATATATAGATAGTAGTAAACCATTCAAGGGGTAGCACCTTTGGTATTTAACACACGAGAGAGTAATTGCTCCTAATGTCTATAGAAGTGTTTTAAGACCTTTAAACTTAAGTAGTTCTAATGAACATTATTCCATTTAAAGACCCTGACCCCAGACCTGTACAGACAATTATACACGTCCCTGCCAGTAACACGGAAATACCTGGAGGGGCGTTATTGGCAACGGTCACACGATACAATATGTTCTGTATACCCTATATATCGTTACTGTGAACACGGAGACAAGGACGCATAGCACAAATTGAAAGGTTTAAAACCCGAACATTTTAATCAGTTCAACTTCATGAATTTTGCAAATATGAAAAATTAAATTATAAAACAAACAAACAAAAGTCGGTGTTTGAAACAAAATGAAGCCACTGATTAATGTACAAAATAATAAGGATTTTTTTCATCATTTTTTTCATATATATTAAATATTTTTGATTTTTGTCTAGTTTTAACTTAGTGTGACAAGGCATAAGCATACAAACAACAGTAGATTATTTATTATTTTCTTAGTGTAAAATATATTTGATAGCAGTTAAGATCGTCATGTAGTAACCACAACACGGTAGACATGGTGTACAGGTGTATTACAGGTGTATTACAGGTGTGTAACAGTACTGTGATCGACCATGCATACTACGTGTTAATTACTGTATACCTGTATATATCTATATACAGTTAAACTGTTTAATAATCTGAGCTTTAGGTATGTACTGTCAATGTGTATCTATCTACAGGTGGCGCTCATATATTAACATTGACACAGTTAAATTAAAGGTAATCTACAATAATAAATCTTGTTTATCTACCATTATTGAGATTTGCGGAGTGTGATACGTATTGCGGTTTTTTATGATTGTGATTACGCAGTATAAGTACATTTTAATTTCTTCGGTGCACCCTCCATAACGTTCATTGTGAGTGTTGTGATTGTCCACAAAAAATAGAATATTCTACACATGTATCGCGCATATGTTAAATTGTATTATTCGACTAAGAGATGTTCACGCCCACTTAACATAAAATGGCGATTTCTTATGGTATCAAGTAATGTACTAACTGTCTCGACTCCACGAGATGTATACTCAGTTCCAGTTACCTCCCTTTATATCAACAGGCCTATGTGATAGGTATATCTTACAACGTAGGGGATAGTGTACTGCTCCTTATTTGACGGATACTGTGTATTATTCAATGACGTTTGGACAAAATATGTCTTAATTTAAAACAGAAAAAATATATGGGTAAGTGATTGAATACAAACAAGAAATAAACGTTCTTTAATATAACAATACTGAATCAAAGGAGAGAGAAAATGAGTCTGTGCCGGTATCAATTGTATTGTACGCCAGAGCTGGTGTTGACCAATAACATAGGCGCATGACATATAACATGTGTAATAATAATCTCTTCAGAAAATTTGCTATAGAACACTATGATGATTCTGTCTTGTTCGATGCCTGCTACACGTATGCATAAAATGTCCTGTTCTAAAAAGCATTGTGCATACCAATCATTTCCCCTACCTACAAAACACTTTGAAATAAGTGTCCTGCCTGAAATTTTAATATAATGACATATTTTGAAGAATTATGAAGTAAAACGTGTCACCCCTGTGTAGACCTCAACAAGTCGACTTCAGTGAAGCCTTCCACACCTACCGATAAACAATCACATTTTTCATCTTACACGAAATGTAAAAATCCAAAAATTGTGAATCAATTATTCTTATTTTCTCATCTATGAACACAGACAAATGGTTTTAAATCGGGACAAAACCTCAACTGATCTGCTGATATTCTTACGCAGAAATCTTGATTGGTAATTTTGACGAACATTTCCAAGTTGGTTATATCTGTTTGGTTGTGTGTCAAAACCCATTCTTAATACAATACATTATCTACAGTGAATACAAAGATACGGATCAGAATAATGGCAAATATAATCAAATATGAACTCTGTAGTAAATTAGTATGAGAATCAAACACGTATCTATCGTACGCCATTTTAAATGGTCAGGTGTATATATTCAACCTACAATTTTAAACGCACTTGTTCCTCGGTTTTTGACACATAGTTATTATATGTATATATATTACATATTATATTATTATATTCTGAAAGAAAATAAGAAATTGAGGGGAAAACCCGAATTCGGGAATTAAATTGTGAAAGACGTAAGGTCTACAACTTGCCCGATATGTTTTGACAAAAAATAATTAAACTCGGATTAAATCCCCCGTCAGAAGTTCTCTATTTGGTCCTTATAATACATCCGGGTATGTGAGAAGAAACCTTAAAATCTACACTTAAAGTACAAAACGATTGTCGTGCGAAGGCCGTGGTTGTCTGTTTTTTGCACCCCGGATCAGTCTCTTTCAACTACTACCTGACACATACTATCATTTCAATGTTGCGGGATCGTTGAATTCTATTTTTTGACATGTTGTCTATTTTCAGGGGAGGGACCAATCGATCCAAGCACTGCAAAACAAACTGTGTATTACGTTATTTACACATCGTAGCCTCTCTCTAATGCTCCGACAAATGTCTACATGATGATAGCGCTAAAAGGCTCTTACATTAGTTCCACTTGTATTGAACTTGTACACCCCGGAGTGCGAGTACCAATAACGCTACTCGGTTAATTACGTGACGATTGTAACAGTTTCTTTCATATCTTCGTTTGCTCTCATCACAGTTTAAATAACATTTGTCAAGTCCAAATTCCTTTTCAAACATGTTTTATGTCATATTATCACATAAGATTGACATGATGACACCACTATAAAGAATAGTGACATACATTACTCTTTTAAGTTTGAATTGCTTATATTTTCCTTCGTCGTATGTGAATTTATACAGATATGAAACATACAAGATAGATGCAAAATAAATATGAAAACGATGGTCGAAATCCGTCATAAATAAATGTTACATGTATTTTTGTTTTAAGAATAACGACTCAAGAATAGGATTACTGTTTGCCTTGACCATGTGTAAAGCATTTCTCTTTTTTATTTTTATTTTATTTTTATAAATTAACAATCTTATCTGGAAGATCTGTTAAATTGCTAACGTATTGTCTTCAGTTTATATTCCATTGTTATGATAATACATATTATACATAGTTAGTATGGCGTTAACATCGTGAATGTTCATTGGTTGTGTGAAACATGGAAACACATAGTGCAAAACTCGTCATCAGAAAACCGTGTGTTTCGTGCCTTACGAAGGTTAAGTGACCTTTAACATGAACAAATCAGCGTGCTCAGACTGACCGCTGTTTATACCTGACTCGTCCTGTGGAACTGCTTCTCCTTTTTCTTTGGTTTCGTTTTGCCCTACATAAGACATCAATAGAACCGTTACAAAGATATAACTCATAAACAGATGGCACTCCTATAATATAAGAGGCCGTTGGTCGGCCTTTTTACGGCGCCTGTCAAAAGTATCTCGCCGTGTAAACCTCTAACATTGTTGGAGGAAAACAGGTGGTTGCGCTTTTGAAAATTTGGTAATAATAATAATAAAGGGACGACACAACTAAAATTGGGTCATCCACTGAGGGAGGAATAGTGAACATTAGGTAGCCCACCGAGTAGGGGCATTTATTATAAGGTCATCTAGAGGGACATTAACATTAGGTAGCCCACCGAGTAGGGGCATTAAATGTAAGGTCATCTAGAGGGACATTAACATTAGGTAGCCCACTGAGTAGGGGCATTTATTATAAGGTCATCTAGAGGGACATTAACATTAGGTAGCCCACCGAGTAGGGGCATTTAATATAAGGTCATCTAGAGGGACATTAACATTAGGTAGCCCACCGAGTAGGGGCATTAAATGTAAGGTCATCTAGAGGGACATTAACATTAGGTAGCCCACCGAGTAGGGGCATTTATTATAAGGTCATCTAGAGGGACATTAACATTAGGTAGCCCACCGAGTAGGGGCATTTAATATAAGGTCATCTAGAGGGACATTAACATTAGGTAGCCCACCGAGTAGGGGCATTTAATATAAGGTCATCTAGAGGGACATTAACATTAGGTAGCCCACCGAGTAGGGGCATTTAATATAAGGTCATCTAGAGGGACATTAACATTAGGTAGCCCACCGAGTAGGGGCATTTAATATAAGGTCATCTAGAGGGACATTAACATTAGGTAGCCCACCGGGTAGGGGCATTAAATGTAAGGTCATCTAGAGGGACATTAACATTAGGTAGCCCACCGAGTAGGGGCATTTATTATAAGGTCATCTAGAGGGACATTAACATTAGGTAGCCCACCGAGTAGGGGCATTTAATATAAGGTCATCTAGAGGGACATTAACATTAGGTAGCCCACCGAGGAGGGGCATTTAATATCAGGTCATCTAGAGGGACATTAACATTAGGTAGCCCACCGAGTAGGGGCATTTAATATAAGGTCATCTAGAGGGACATTAACATTAGGTAGCCCACCGAGGAGGGGCATTTAGTATTAGGTCAATAACTACGGTAAGAGGCATTACACAGTTGGTCACCTATTGAGGAAGGCATTTAGCATAAGGTCATCCACTTGTTGAGGGCAGTACAAATAAAGCTAATTTAGAGAAGGGGTAGTTGACTAACAAGGGGGTAACATTTATCACATTAAGGTAGCTTAACTGTATGCAGGATCACATTTTCATCGCGACATACCAAATAATCGTTTGAAAACAAGTTTCATATAATTTGAACCAGTAGGAAAAACCTTGATGTGATGATGTGGTCCACCAAATCAAGGGATGCGTCATATACTGACATTTCTTAATTAGAGGTCAGGTCATGGAAATTACCTGAAATTCTTCAAAGTCATTTGTTATCTCCCCTTTAAAAACAAAATGAAAAGAATGTTGTCAATTATTTCGGACTAGTGGAAAGGCAATACAATTGTGAGTAGTTTATTGGTCAATAGGACGCTTTTATACTGAAATCACGATACTTAGAATAGGATCTGGAGTGGAGAACCATCGGAGAAAGTTTCTATAAGCAGGATAGACTTGCATGTTACTAATGGGAGAGGAAATAGACGATCATGAATTCATTATCAACACAAGAGTTTGGCAATGAATCGACACGTACTGTCATACTGGAAATCAAGGTCATAACAACAAGCTGAAGAAGTAGGGTTTGTGATATCATTTATTTCTATGTCCAAGAGAATAGGATGGATGTGATTACGGCTGAAAAATCTTGTAAGGCAACGAAAAACATGGTCAATGAATTTATGTTAAAATTCATGTAAATGTTCGTTCAGAAGTGGTGGAAAAATCTTTTGCATAATTATTGCTTGAGAACCTTTAGATAAATGATCACTGTTAACAGGACTGCACGAAATTCCTTTTACTTAGTTACTGTATTAATATTATTGTATAAATGCTTAAAAACATCTCAAAACCATATACACCGTACCTTTGCTTTACTATCATATTACAGTTGCTTGGACATATCTTATGCGGTACATTAGCTTCTTTGTTACTTTATTCCAACCATCGTACACTGTATTTAGAAATGACGTATCTTACTATTACATTGTATCTATGTTCCATGTTGGTATAAAAGTAAGAATCGTATACTGGTATAAGAAGGAAATCGACAGTGGATAATAAGTGTTTGATACGACAACAAAGAAATAAATGCAAATGAATGAACTTTTTTTCTTAAACCTGTTGTATTACTTCACAAAATTTAATGTTATCGCAAGACAAACTCAATTCATAAATCAATGTGCATTGTTCATTAGGCGTGTTCTTTTCAGCTATGATGTTTTCAAAAAAAACACACCATAAAATATGAATGAATTGTGATTTGTGTACCAAAACAAACTAAGTAAACCACTTTTACAAAATGTAAAGCGTAAAATGCAGGAACTAATAATTGGTGAAGCAATGCTATACATAGGTGAAATACATAGAGTAGGGTGAGGTGTACAATACTATAATCAAAGCAGCAGCCTATTGTTTACCTCCAGACGAAGTGTCACAGCCGGACCTTTATTTCAGGACAAGCAGCACTGTCACAATTTTTTAACATTTACTTCTAGACGAAAAGGGTACCAACTTGTACTTTTATCAATGAATTCGTACGTCAAAACAATAAACGACACAACAATACGCTTCTACCTAAATATGTCTTAACAAGGGTACGAGAAAATAACACTTGCTCCAAATAAGGAGTTCCTGACAACCTGACGCTTCTGCCTAGATATGGAGTGCCACAACCTTAGGAATATGTCTTAACAAAGGGTACGACAAAATAACACTTCCGATAAGGAGAAACTGACAGCCTGACGCTTCTGTCTAGATAAGGGGTGTCACAACCTTAAGAGTATGTCTTAAAAAAGGGTACGACAAAATAACACTTCAGATAAGGAGTTCCTGACAACTTGACGCTTCTGTCTAGATAAGGAGTGCCACAACCTTAGGAATATGTCTTAACAAAGGGTACGACAAAATAACACTTCAGATAAGGAGTTCCTGACACCCTGACGCTTCTGTCTAGATAAGGAGTGCCACAACCTTCAGACTATGTCTTAACAAGGGGTACGACAAAATAACACTTCAGATAAGGAGTTCCTGACAACCTGACGCTTCTGTCTAAATAAAGGAGTGCCACAACCTTAAGACTATGTCTTAACAAAGGGTACGACAAAATAACACTTCATATAAGGAGTTCTTGACAACCTGACGCTTCTGTCTAGATAAGGAGTGCCACAACCTTAGGAATATGTCTTAACAAAGGGTACGACAAAATAACACTTCAGATAAGGAGTTCCTGACACCCTGACGCTTCTGTCTAGATAAGGAGTGCCACAACCTTCAGACTATGTCTTAACAAGGGGTACGACAAAATAACACTTCAGATAAGGAGTTCCTGACACCCTGACGCTTCTGTCTAGATAAGGAGTGCCAAAACCTTCAGACTATGTCTTAACAAGGGGTACGACAAAATAACACTTCAGATAAGGAGTTCTTGACAACCTGATGCTTCTGCCTAGATAAGGAGTGCCACAACCTAAGGAATATGTCTTAACAAAGGGTACGACAAAATAACAATTCAGATAAGGAGTTCCCGACGACCTGACGCTTCTGTCTAGATAAGGAGTGCCACAACATAGCGTCTAGGCAAACACTTAAAACTGACATCCAGACAAATGGTTTCGTAACCCTATCCTTACTTCTAAAATGGATTTCCAAAACATCTCATGCTTGATGCCAGTCAATAGGTGTTGCAACAAAACAAACAAATATAATTTGCAAAAAGTGGTGTCACAATCTAACGAGAATGTATATTCCGAAACAAGAGGCACCACAGCACATTTACTGTTTAGACAAGAGACGACTCGCTTAAATTTGTATGCAAGAAAAGATCTATCAACACAAGGGATGATAAAACAACCTCACGCTAACCTCCAGGCAAAAAAGTGTCCAACCACCTCACGCTCATTTCTATATAAGTGATGGACCAACAATCTCATACGTGCGAAAAGAATCAATGATATGACGACGTTTATTATCACTTATCAGACATGGGCTACACCTACTCTTCCTGCCTACTAAAGACAGTGGTTGAATAAAGTCGTTCTGCTAAGGAGAAAAAAGGGCAAAAGTACGAGTGTACGGACACACTCGGACATCCAGAACTAACTATACGTATTGGAATGTGTACACAGCAAAACATAAATGACACACAGACATATATTTGATAATTACAAACAGGTGAAGTCCACCACTTATCAGTGTTCGTGATTGCATACATGAACACGTTCTGTTGATTCTGGTGGCAAGATACCGAGAAAGGATTGTTCGCACAACCATAGTGGTCGCCACTACGTAGCTGTGCTTACAGGGTCACATGAAAATACGAGAAAAGACGAACATTGCTGGAGTTTTGATTAAAAAAAAATGCATTTCTAAAAAACCTATTTGATAAAATGTCTGTAGCAAAATAAGCATATAAAAGGCTTGCTCCACAACACAAGAACGTGTGTATATAGTGTGCATACTGTGTTACCTTGAAGTTCAGCTTGGGCAACTGCTGCAAATGGACCAACCAGACATAAATATTAGTTCCTACACAACATACTGTAAATGATTACATTTTAACGGACTCCAATTTTAGCATATCATGTAAAGAAACTGTATACAAAATCTTTAATAAGTGCAATCATAATTCAGTGCGAAATTCAAAGCTCGAAAAAACGGTAAGTTTACAGTAGTTGGACTCGCCGTTGAAGATATCATGTCGACAGATTTTGGATGGCAATCAGTGTGACTGAGTACATGGAGATACTTCAGGGATCACTCTTGTTGGAATACTTTCCTAAGCTCTTATTTCAGATGTTGCTTTCCCATTCAAAGACCTTTTGGGGATTAGTGGTAACTCATATCTTTTTTATTAAACAGGTTATAATTCCTTTTTGCCAAGAAAGACTCATTTATGTCATTATTTTTGTGAGATTGATGCGGTGACGATTCATGTTAACCTAATTCACACGACAGCGTTTCCCCAATTTAACACAATCTACTGTATATAATATATGAGTTTTTGCTACTTGCTATCGATAGAAATTGCACAAAACAACCGGCTACTTGAAGTGACTGAGAATGGATTTTTCATAATCCTGTCCCGAATTAATGTACTGAAGAAAAGGGATTAAATTTCATTTGCAATGCACGGTGCCATGGCCTACAATCGTACAAGTATAGGAGTAATTCTTGTACCTTCTTACACATTACGACTTATGTCAAACTAGTTGGTCGTATGCATTGTCACTGTAAACGTTATAACATATTGGTCCACTACTGTTTGATGTACGAGTAGGGGTACCGAGTACGACCACAGGGGCGTGTTATCCACCCACATTCCAAGTGGTAATTGATAGTAAGCGTATATACGGGAGGAGGTCCTACGTAGGAATACAATCCCCTGTGTTATGTCAGGTTGTAATGAACGTCTTACTTTGAACGCATTCAGGTTGTGATTAATAGGATATCACATAACGGCCATACGACGACACGAGATAGTCTGTGAGACAGGGGAGGGTCACGCGTGTCATTGCCGGGGGGTCAGGCCGTGACGCAAGGGACATATCGGAGTAACACGTCTCGTCTTACAGGGCCTAATGTGCAGTAATACGACAGATTCGAGAGATAACTAATCGTCTCACAACGGAGAGCGAACCTCATTATAAAATTTATTCTTCAAAAGATTGAGCACCAATAAATTATACTGCCGCATAGTGTGATGGCGTATCAATAACTGGGATTAACAGTATTTTGGTTACTTACATACTCGTTTGTACTTGTAAAATAAAAATAAAAAATCTGAAATGACAAATGGTTTTCTTTTTGAACAATTCCGTGTTGACTACAGAAAATGTGGATCAACATCCTCCTCACATTATACTAGCGTTTCTCGTGTAATTGTAAGAGAGAAACAACAGTTTATTCTAGAATATACACAACTGATTTACTCTAATTTTTTAATTATTCTTGTCTTCGTGTAAGTTTGTCATTGGAAATATTGTTAAGCTGAACTCATAATATGGATTAAAAAAACTAAACGTCTATGTATCGGGGATGGTATTCGAATGTAAAGGTATATAAATACGTGTGACACCGCGAAAATATCAATGACAAAATTGTGGAAATAGCAGCAACTTGCCAACAAAATCATTTTGATTGTGAAATGGAAAGTGTGCAATCACCTGACGAAACATGATTCCCAAATACACCGTTTTGGACTTTTGAAAGTTCAGAATAATGCGGCAGAAGTCGCGAAAATAACCGACACCAGGTGAGGATTATCACTTACCATGCTGTTAAACTCCGGTGACCATTGTTCTACGTCCCTGGGGCCACAGAAATCCTTGTGTGTGGTAGAGTTGTACTTGTCCCAGCTTCGTTTCGATCCCGCAGACTGGGGCAGAAGGTGAGCACTATTGTCTTGAAGCAGCCGGATTTGGTGCGCCAGCCAGTTCCCCGGGGGGACGGGCGACGGAATTTCAAAAGTTGTGTTAGACCTCTGCATAACATCCAGCGCCATTTTGAATTTCGTCAAGCGTCTCTAAGAATGTGCCGACAGATTATCCAATAAAAACGATTTTTTTATAATAATTTCCAGACGCCAGATTTGTATCACTGTCACCACTTACTCCATCTGGTCTACACAGCTGTGAGGGACTGACCCTGTACCGTCAGACACTAGCGACACCCCACGGGGTGACATTTGCTCCCCGAACTTTCTTCCCTCTGTGATGGTGGATCGAGTGTCGGAGACAAACCTAGCCCAATACGTCTGTCATTATGTATCCCTTGTTTCAAATCGGAGCAGTTTAAACGTTACAGTTTTATTCTGAAGATTTTAATCACCCACTGGGGCCAATATGGGGCGATTCAAAATTTAATTTACAGTTAAGCTTCTAATCTCCTACTTAATACATTCAAAGATATTTCAATTTAAATACAACAAAAACTGGATTTATTCTTATACATATTTTCTTTGGTTCATGTAAAGTAATTAATTATCAAATGTTTAAACGATTGTTAAGTATATTTAAATAACTGGCCTCTTTTTATGTAGCAGTTTCAATATTTCAACTACTTCACATATACCAGTGGTAGATCTGCTGATTAGACCGGTCGGTTCACTGCCCCTATACTACATTAGTTCCTAAGCCTTAGTTTCACGAGACAATGACACCTGACTAATTAACATAAGATACAGTTCATAATACACCCTTGCAATACACAATGTCTCACACTGTATCCAAGCACGCGCTTCCATGCCAACTCAGTGCTGAGCCAATAGTTATTGATAGGGGGCGTGGCAGGTCCGACTTCCGTAGGTTTCGTTCGAATTGGTATCAATGTGGCTGACGCATGATCTCTGAGCTAGTGCGAAGACAATTTAAATACCCACTGTTTTATACCGGGCTTTGTCATACCGATTAACAAGTAAATGAACTTAGGACCTTTCTGTGTGTAACCTCACCCTAGAGTCACTAGTTAAAATCTACTTATATTGCCAGTTGATCCTTTGTTACCAAATACACACGTTGAGCTTTACCAAAGCATGTATTATAATGACAGCAAATTAACTTGAATTGAATAGTACAGCATGAGATTAACGTGGAAAAGGTTAAAGAAGACGATACCAAGTTCTATCAGACTTTCGAGATACATATATTCGTTCACCAACGAGTTGATCACAAGCACCGCTGTGATATGAGAGAAAAAAAAGAAAAAAAATGAGAGAAAAAATGTAATGGCCATACCAGGATTCGAACGCGGGACCTTCCGAACTCTAGACAAACGCTCGAACCGCTTGTGCTCTACCTGGTCGCCGGCGATCGAACCAGTCAAGTTCCGCTACAGATGTATCCATGGTAACGTTTGTAGTCGGATACTGCTTTATCGAGATTGATCTGAAGTTGTATACAGAGGTAACTACTATAACAAAGTGTGCATATTACAATAACGTTACAGCAGCTGCAACAACGCTCGTATAACAGCGGGTCTATTTAATAACGTTAATGCACCCTAGCAGCCGCCCCACAGTGTTCCCATCTAACATGTACCCCATGCATGGCCCATGGGCCTAAACGGTCACCTGAGTAAATGAAGTACTCAAATTGTAGCATGTATTTTTTTAATTGGCACATAGTGGGGCATGCACACATACTTATATGGAGACCAGGCATACACATGCGGTATAGATGAATTAGATGATACGTTTAATGGATTATGTACAGATGAAGTTGTAAATGTCTTAGCCAATCACAGGCTAGAGTGGCCATCTCGAATTTTACAATCAGCATGAAAAGTTTGTCGGTCGAAACCTCATAAGGAACACTTCTACTAATTTAGAAGTGAATCGGTGTAGCATTTCTTAAGAAGTGTGACGATATAGGGGGGGGGGGTACTGAATGACCTCTGATGACGTCATAATGTCTTTGATTTTTCAGATGACGTTACGAGGGTTGTCTAGAGGGGTTGTCTGAACTGCGGCAGCAGTAAATGGGTTTGACTGCGGGAGCAGTAGACTGATCTTGTTGAGAGAGAACAATTTACGTTGTAATCTATGTAAGGACGGACTACATTTTTACGCGGAAGCATTCAAATGTAGCTTTAGTAGTGAAGAGGTCATTATCATTTGAGGTCCAAGGCGGGATACTTGTAGTTTTTAGCAAAATTGAATAGTTCTTTTCGAACTAAAAGGTGCAAGAACAGAAAATACCTTACGCCGAGGTTGGGGATTTTGTTACAGAATCTTAACCCTCGACTGAGATAACCCGATCTCGCTCAGTTACAGGTAAAATATTTTTTCGGCTTACGTTAGTTGATATCTAGCTTACGTCGGCTTACGTTAGTTGATATCTAGCCTACGGGTTGGTTTTGACGGCGTGGTTTTGACGACGGCATCGAGTTTTTCGGTTTACGTTAGTTGATATCTAGATTACGGGTTGGTTTTGAAGACGTCATCGAGTTTTTCGCTTACGGGTTGGTTTTGACGACGTTATGGAGTTTTGACTGACGGATTGGTTTTGACGACGTCATCGAGTTTTTTGGCATACGTTAGTGTACGTCAAATAATGTTACGACTGTACCACAACGGTCGCCACACAATGTACCCATATTATAACGTTACGGCGGCTGTACCATAGCGGTCGCCCCACAGTGTACCCGTCCAATAATGTTACGGCAGTACCACAGCGGTCGCCCCACAGTGTACCCGGCCAATAATGTTACGGCAGTACCACAGCGGTCGCCCCACAGTGTTTATATATATACCCGCCCAATAATGTTACGGCTGTACCACAGCGGTCGCCCCACAGTGTACCCGTCCAATAATGTTACGGCAGTACCACAGCGGTCGCCCCACAGTATACTCGTCCAATAATGTTACGGCTGTACCACAGCGGTCGCTCCACAGTGCACCCGTCCAATAATGTTACGGCTGTACCACAGCGGTCGCCCCACAGTGTTTATATATATACCCGTCCAATAAGGTTACGGCTGTACCACAGCGGTCGCCCCACAGTGTACCCGTCCAATAATGTTACGGCTGTACCACAGCGGTCGCCCCACAGTGTTTATATATATACCCGTCCAATAATGTTACGGCTGTACCACAGCAGTCGCCACACAGTGTGTGTACCCATAATAACGTTGTTCGAAAAACAAATTTGATAAATCACCGTTGCGTGAATAAGTAGTGCCGGGAAGTTCACCCTTTACTGGGTGGCTTAGCAATTGGAAACTTGTTCAATTGAACACTGGAAAAACCTTCGGAAACCGTTGTTTGTTAGGACTTCAGGGTCCATTAATACCAAACTATTTACGATTCGTCGTATTTTGCCTCTTAAAATCTTCAATAGGGTATATATAGCACCTATTACTTGTCTAACAAATTTCGTTCTTTCAAACTGATGTTGAAAGTGAAAAGCTACGATCACGGTCAGTTAGTGTCAGAATGAGAACATTGCCCAAGAACGTGTAGTGTTGTTCTATTACCCATACCTGGTCCTAGGATCTGTAGGAGATGAAAACATAGTGTGAACGACTTGTTATCGTTCAGGGTTGGTATCGGAGAAATGCTTTGAACGACTTGTTATCGTTCAGGGTTGGTATCGGAGAAATGCTGTGAACGACTTGTTATCGTTCAGGGTTGGTATCGGAGAAACGCTGTGAACTACTTGTTATCGTTCATTGTTGGTATCGGAGAAATGCTGTGAACGACTTGTTATCGTTCAGAGTTGGAATAAGAGAAATGCTGTGAACGACTTGTTATCGTTCATAGTTGGGATAAGAGAAATGCTATGAACGACTTGTTTTCGTTCAGAGTTGGTATAAGAGACATGCTGTGAACGACTTGTTATCGTTCATAGTTGGTATAAGAGAAATGCTGTGAACGACCTGTTATCGTTCAGGGTTGGTATCGGAGATATGCTGTGAACGACTTGTTATCGTTCATAGTTGGTATAAGAGAAATGCTATGAACGACTTGTTTTCGTTCAGAGTTGGTATAAGAGAAATGCTGTGAACGACTTGTTATCGTTCAGAGTTGGTATAAGAGAAATGCTGTGAACGACTTGTCATCGTTCAGGGTTGGTATCGGAGAAATGCTGTGAACGACTTGTTATACAAGATACAAGAATTTTTTTATTTAGAGTCGTGTTTGTAACAATGCAACTTTAGCTCAGAAGAGCTATTCTTGCGACTATTTAACAATCATAATTGATAGAAACAATAAAATATCACAAAGGTAGCATGCATCACAGATGGTTGAATAAAAGGTAAAATAGCACGGTAATTAAAGGTCATGCGAATATAAAGCTCATGCAACATATAAATTAATTTAAGTTAAGAGACGTTTCAGTCTAATGTACATATATGCCAATATGGCAAAAACTAAAAATTAACAGAATACAAGCTAATATATCATAATCTAAAACAACAAAGCATACATTTATGAAGCAATATTTAGGAATTTACAGCATAAAAGAAGAATTACGCAAAAGAAAGTAAAGCATCACTATAAGAACTAAAACTTGTGCATGACAAATATTTCTGGAGCAATAAAAACGCAAAATCTAGAACCAAAAATCAATCATTCATCTTTGTACAGATGGAACATGTACAGATGGGACCATCCCAGGTGTGGACCAGCCTCTGGAATTCTGGGAAGCATTCACATCTCCGCAATTCATTTGGAAGACTGTTCCACACCCGGGCCGCCTTAAACGAGAAGGATTTCTGCCCGTACCTTGTAGTTTTTACAGATGGGATGCTGACTGTGAAGTCCCTTCTGAGATTATAAGCAGATTCCCTTAGTTTTACTAAATCTCGTATATAATTAGGAGAAATCTTGTGTAGTATTTTAAAAACTTCACAGCCCATATCTGTTAGCCTCTTAACATGTAAAAGAGTACTATTAGTAGATTTTAAAAGCTGACTAAAAGTTGATACATAATCACTCTCCACGAATCTCAGTGCACGCTCCTGAATCTTTTCCATCTTTCTCACACTTTTCAAGCTAGTAAAATGCCAAACCAGTGGGCAGAAATGAAAACTAGATATAATAAAAGAATTGTATATGACTCTCCTACCTTGTTTTGTTAAAAAAAAACTCCAATTCTTTTAAGAACATTTAGCTGTCTAGAAGTCTTTGAACAAATTTCTAAAACATGTATATCAAAATTTAAAAATGAGTCAAAATCGACACCAAGTAACTTCACAGTTTTTTCAGGCTTAATGGTTACATTTTCTATTTTGAAAGAATTAAAAGTCTCAATAGTTTTCCTACCTAGACATATGGCCTGAAATTTATCAGGATTTGCCCTCATGCGGTTTTTGTTAAACCAGTTAACCAAGTTTGAACAGTCTGTTTCAATTGACTGCTTAAGAACAAGAGGATCCGATCCTTATTGGATGAGCTCACCGTGTTGTCATCCGCATAATTATAGAGTTTGGATGATTTGACATATAAGAACATATCATTAATAAAGATGTTAAAAAGTAGGGGCCCCATAATTGTGCCCTGAGGGACTCCCTTTAGCACTTCCAACCAGTCGCCGCATTTGGAACCCAACTTGACCTGTTGTAATCTGTTACCCAGATAGCTAGATACCAACAGGTTGTTATCGTTCAGAGTTGGTATCGGAGAAATGCTGTGAACGACTTGTTATCGTTAATAGTTGGTATAAGAAAAATGCTGCGAACGACTTGTTATCGTTCAGAGTTGGTATCGGAGAAACGCTGTGAACGACTTGTTATCGTTCAGAGTTGGTATAAGAGAAATGCTGTGAACGACTTGTTATCGTTCAGGGTTGGTATCGGAGAAATGCTGTGAACGACTTGTGATCGTTCAGAGTTGGTATCGGAGAAATGCTGTTAACGACTTGCTATCGTTCAGAGTTGGTATCGGAGAAATGCTGTGAACCCCCTGTTATCGTTCAGAGTTGGTATCGGAGAAATGCTGTGAACGACTTGTGATCGTTCAGAGTTGGTATCGGAGAAATGCTGTTAACGACTTGCTATCGTTCAGAGTTGGTATCGGAGAAATGCTGTTAACGACTTGCTATCGTTCAGAGTTGGTATCGGAGAAATGATGTGAACGACTTGCTATCGTTCAGAGTTGGTATCGGAGAAATGCTGTTCTAAAGAAAACATCGAGCTCTAAACGACGCAACTTTTGAAATGTTTTTCCCAGAGCTGTCAACGGGTTGTAAAATCCTAATTATGTCAGAATTTTATCTACGTTTGCAAGTTATCACCATTTCTCGAAGGTGACTGTACCAGTCATTAAATCGACACAAACTGGCATCTTCTTCTGCACCACTGTACAGGGAACAAAACTAGAATGTCTTGTTACACAATCTGATTCCAAGGAAGATGCAGCCATTACTGTTTTCATGCAAGATCTCAGGGCGTCACTTCTGTCAGATTGGTACGGCACAATCAATAGGCACCATACAGGTTGAATAACTGCAGACGCTATTCTCAGGTTTTTGTTATCGAAGACGTGACCTCTGTAACTTTTCTTGGAAGACTAAGACAATGGTGTGTCGGTCAAACTAAAATGTCGTCGCTTGGATATGTTAAGTACCATAGCCTTCATAAACGTGCCTCCCCCAAACACTGTGTTGTACGTCTGCTGATTATCATATCTGCCTGGAAAAAGTGATATTTGGAACAACCCCGTGCATATCGAATCCCTATCGACATTTAAACACCGTGGGTGGGTGAAGCAGGCATGTTTCTTTCAAGAAAGGAACAGTACACGGATGGAAAAACTAGATTAGTAGTAGGTCATGATCTAAGTAAAGATCGAGTTGAGCGACTGATGCAAAGAATCTCCAGTGTTTTAACTTAAGATTCACAGGGGTTTTTACAAGTGTGTTTTTTTTTTTATCTGTCGTGGAAACTGTTCGATAGTATACAGCCTCAAATGAAAGCAACAGCAATGTTCAAATAGAGCTGGACGCAGCTTGTTCTCTCGATATGCCCAAAGTACGCTGAAAAATCGTAATTGAAAAAAAATTGTCGACTAGGAATTCAATCATTTGTCAAAGTTTAGACCTTTCAGTGTGTTGGCAAGAGGCTTATGTGCAGCCCTACAATCTTTACACACCGCCGTCATATAACCTGAGATGTGTTATCATATACCTGTTGAATCTTGATATAGTAATACAAGCAATTTCAGACCATGAAATACAACGTACTGTATTGCACATGTGCAATACGGAATGTTGTATTACCTACTAGCCGGAACTACTTTTTATGGGAATCCCCTTGTCATGGCGAACTGAAAAGTTCCCGGTATTTGCAAAAAATATCAAAGTTTATAAAATCTTTGTATCGATCTTTACCAAATACGGAAGGTATGTGATAAAAACAAGACCACACACTTGTGTTTTTCTAACGAATCAGAAAGCACTCATTTATTGCGCGGAAGTATATATTCACTCGTTGCGCTCCGCGCACTCGTGAATATATTCGTCCTCGCAATAAAAACACAAGTGTGTGGTCTTGCATGACCTTACATGTCGAATGGCCCCACAATCTTTGGACACCGCTATGACTTTAGATGTCGTATGGTCCTACAATCTTTGGACACCATCGTCATATAACCTTAGATGTTGTATGAACCCACAATCTTTAGACACCGTCGTCATATAACCTAAGATGTTGTATGGGCCCACAATCTTTGGACACGGTCGTCATATGACCTTGACTGTTGTATGGCCCCACAATCTATGGAGACCGTCGTCATATGACCTTATATGTCGCATGGCCCCACAATCCTTTGGACACCATCGTCATATAACTTTATATGTTAAATGGCCCACAATGTTTAGACACCTTCGTCATATGACCTTAGATGTTGTATGGCCCCACAACACCATTTTCATATGCCATTGGCTGTGGTATGGCCCCACAATCTATGGACACCGTGGTCATATGACCTTGGCTGTTGTATGGACACCATTATTATATGACCTTGGCTGGTGTATGGCCCCACAATCCTTTGACACCATTATCATATGATATTGGATGTGGTATGGCCCCACAATCTTTGGACATCATTATTATATGACCTTGGCTGTTGTATGGCCCCACAATCCTTTGACACCATTATTATATGACCTTGACTGTTGTATGGCCCCACAATCCTTTGACACCATTATTATATGACCTTGGCTTTGGTATGGCCCCACAATCATTTGACACCGTTATTATATGACCTTGACTGGTGTATGGCCCTAAAATCTTTGGACACCATCACTATATGACCTTAGATGTTGTATGACCCACCAACCTTTTGACACCGTCACTATATGGCCTTAGATGTTGTATGACACATCAATCTTTGGACACCGTCACTATATAGCCTCAGATGTTGTATGACGCACCAATCTTTGGACACCGGCACTATATAACATTAGATGTTGTATGACCCCCCAATCTTTGTACACCGTCACTATATGACCTTAGATGTTGTATGACCCACCAATCTTTTGACACCGTCACTATATAACCTCAGATGTTGTATGACCCACCAATCTTTGGACACCGTCACTATATGACCTTAGATGTTGTATGACCCACAAATCTTTGGACACCGTCACTATATGACCTTAGATGTTGTATGACCCATCAATCTTTGGACACCGTCACTATATGTCCTTGGCTGTGGTATGGCCCCCGTCACTATATGACCTTAGATGTTGTATGACCCACCAATCTTTGGACACCGTCACTATTTGACCTTAGATGTTGTATGACCCACCAATCTTTGGACATTGTCGCTATATAACCTTAGCTATTGTATGACCCACCAATCTTTGGACATTGTCGTTATAGGACCTTAGCTATTGTATGTTAACAGTTGTTGTGGGGACATGAAATCCAAATACACATATAACCCATTAATTTTCTCTTCTTAGGAAAAAACCACAACCAACACTCAAATAAACTTCGAAAAATATTTTATATACCGTAACAATCTGCATGATCATATAGACACCATCAGCGATCAGCTAAGTTGAGATTATTATGTATTTTATCTTACAGACGCATGAATCACATCTGAATGCAGGCATCAGCAACAATTGTACAAAACACAGACAGGTGTATATTTATATATATATACCAGTAAACTTTTCAGTTACTCTTTAAAACTGGTGTCTTTAAATAGAGTAACTGTTAGAAATAACAGTGAGGACTGTTGGCACAATAAGTAGAATTTACTTTCTGTAAACTAGAACAAAAATGTCAATAATAAACACTTAAACTACTCTACGCTAAAGTTACATAGAAAATAAAGTAGAAAATCGTCAATACCTAATGACAAGCTCAGAACTAAAAGTCAATTAACAATTAACACCAGAGTATGGAGTCATCTTGAACCCTCACAAAAATAAAGAAGAGGAAAGAAATGAGAAGGCGAAACTATGTGCTCAAAAGGGGTAAGAGTTCACCAGATGTAGCATCCTTCAGGATGTCGCCCATCAAATTCCACTAAGTAGGAACGAGTTTCAGTGACCGTGTCTTTGATTAAAAGGGTGCACACTGAAATAGCCTCGGTGTAAATGAGGTCTTGATAATGACGATTCAATTTCTTCAAATTATATAAGATTTAGCCTCTTGATAAGAACACCTGTGGTAAGTAATTTGGTCAATAGGACGAATTTGTCAAGCAAACCCCGATATCCTGACAGGCGGCCTCGGAACAATTAAATAATATAATCGTTAACACGAAAAATTCATATTAACCCTTTCACCCCTTTGTAACTTTAGTGGACTCTACCATGCACTGATCTGGATGAGTCCATTATGGTCTACAGTGGTGAAAGGGTTAAGGGGAGGCTGACATGTTCCTTCTGAGGAAAGGAAGTTTACAATCTGAAATTTAAGTTATTACATTTGTCAAGGATTTTGGTAGGGAGATGGTATTATTAACTTTTATTATACCCTAAATCTCTGTTATAGAGTAAGACTATGGATTCCTTAATAAAAACTTAAACAATCAATACAAAATAATATAATAGATGGGACTACGAGAATAATGGCATTACTACTGTATGGATCAATAAGGTATAACTAATGGCAAAAGTAATCCAAAATGTGAACACAATTATTGGCAAACATCAAATGTTATCAACCAATGCATCATCTAACAGTGTAAGATAAAGACAAATAAAAACAGATTAGTACATGTAGCAGCAGCTTGAGAACATTTGCAGCAAAAAGCGAATACTTGTACATAGATATAAAATTCTTACTGTAATATACCGGGTAATGCATATAAATATTAGTAGCATATGACAAATTGTGGATTAAGTAGTATACATTTATATCAAACGGTGGTTTTTTTTCATAGTTATTGAAACCAGAATGAACAATTGGCAGGATTTGGGGCAGTAGAGTTGTACCTAATGCAACAAGTAACTGGCGTTAAGTCATTCATCCCTGAAATTTCATAATGAACTATTCCAACCTTTGCATTGGAAGAGTTTAAATGTGTCTGACAGGGGTGGGTGAGTTAAGACACATACTTACCGTTAACCATGTACGTTAATGACACATTTCTAGGGACCAAAAAGAGTTCACTAATAACTGTACTGGAGTGAACATAGATCACAACTTTGTACATTTCATATTGATACATGTTCAACAGCAAATATTGCTTTCCTGCATTTCATTTCTAGGTAATTTAAAGGAAACAAGTTACAATTTTGGACTCTAAAATTGAGCATTTTCAACTGGTAAAAGCTAAACTTTTCACCTGAAAGAATAGCTCAAACTATGCCAAAAGTGTTATTTTTCCCAAGGGTGTACAAACACACTTTATATTTATGCATTTAATTTTGAGAACGTGTTATCTCCCCCATGGAAATTTTTAGTATTTTAAGTATGCATTTATTATTTCTTCAAATGAACTGAGTGAAAATATGCCCTAAGTGCCATTTTTATGTGGAATCACGAGACAACCCCTACAAAACCACACCACCCAGAATTACTTGTCGTTATACTATTTATAACAGATATTCCCTTAGAAAATAGAAAACAAAGAGAGACAACTCTTGTATTTTGTCCTATTACGAAGAAGATATTCCAGACTGCCTCTAACAACATTGGTGAGTCAGTATTCTCCTTAGTAGACTACTGGTGATGTTAACGTAATCGAGTAGAGAGTTATTTCTCTCTTAATTGTTTTTGGGGACTCTGTTATTTGTGTCATTAGAAATTTGTAAATATATCTGATGCTGTGAAAGACTTGACTTTCAATAAATTATATATTTAATTCTCATGTTGGCCCAGTGAATTGTAGATTCTTTGTACAGAATCATAACTATTGTCTATTTAATTACACATGTTATACACTTACAGATATTTGAAACGTTCAAACGTGGACTTGATGACAAACTAAGCAGTGACAATGTACATCATGATCAACCTAGACCTGCTCTGATCATGGCTGCTGTATAAAAAGCATATTGAATTACGTTTTGATCCTGCGTAAATCTTTTTTTACCCCAAATATGTAGTAAATTCAACACAATTCAAAACATTAAAATAAATCTATGACCTGAAACCTAATCTACTTGCCCTATTTTTCTTGACTAGACAGACCACGCAGTATTTTACGCGATGAGGTGCTTATCATACCTACTGTACCAATGATATGCCCACTCCCAGTATTAAACTGGCATCATCTAACCACTTTTTTAAACTGAATTTAAATATGGTTGAGTAGCACAACATCAAATTGAGAAGGAAACCTAGCGCTCATTTCAACATCCCCTCCCTCAAAATCATAGTCAAAACATCCTCGATATCCAGGGGTTACGCTCACTATTGCTCTCTGCACCCCTGGAATACGTCATAGCAAAACCGAAGGCTCGGTGTGCGCCACCTTGTTGGTGAGACAAGAAGATTATTTCGACCCTTTGATATACATCAAAAGAATCTCGCAGTCACATAACGGTAAATATTGACAAGCTTTGAAGTCAGGCGTCTCCTTTGTAATCTTCGCTTTGACATATTCCAGGGGTGTAGAGAGCAAAAGGGAGCATAACCCCTGGATATCGAGGATGAAGCCAAATATGCTAAACTAATGATTATTACTTAAAGGATATACAATTGCAATGTGTGTAGTCACAATGCACGCTAAAATGACATTGAATACACATACAGAATTAGACTTGAATCATTTGAACCGAGATTTCATGTTCATGACTACATTCATATTTTCTTTTGATGCAAAATATCACACCTGGCATCAATATATACCAGAACTTTGGAATCAAGCTTTTTTTTTCCCCGAGTCAACAATAAACCCTATTGTTATATTGGATTGTTCCCCTAATATGACACTAACACAGCGATACCGTACTGGTTACATGGATATACACGAATATACATGATTAATACCTAGGTCCCATACACATTCATTGTGTAGAGAAATGCCCTGAGAAGTTACATACAATCGGATGTACCTGCCTCATACCACTGGCCACAAATATAACCCACATTATCTAACATTTCTTACAACCTGTCAATTTCATGAATGGCATGTTTTGAAGAAATACCGACCGACGGCTGGAAATGTATACCTGGCTAAAGGTAGATGAAAATGGACACACACCAACTGTTTTGTGAAGATGTATACCTGGATGTTTGAGGAGTTCTGGGGACATCTACCGACCAAAAGCATTGTGTACCTGGACAGCAGTAACGACTATGAACAGAGCCTACTTACTGACCATTGGAGTTGTGTACCTGGACAGCAGTAGATGACCATGAATTTGGATAACCTAGTTATGTACCTGGACAGCAGTAGATGACCATGAATTTGGATAACCTAGTTATGTACCTGGACAGCAGTAGATGACCATGAATTTGGATAACCTAGTTATGTACCTGGACAGCAGTAGATGACCATGAATTTGGATAACCTAGTTATGTACCTGGACAGCAGTAGATGACCATGAATTTGGATAACCTAGTTATGTACCTGGACAGCAGTAGATGACCATGAATTTGGATAACCTAGTTATGTACCTGGACACAGGTATGTGACTCCGGACAGGGGATACCTAATGACCATTGGAGTTGTGTACCTGGACAGCAGTAGTCTAGATGACCATAGAGGTTACCAACTGACCACTGGAATTTGTACATTTTACATATTTTTTGTATTTTTACATTTAAAAATTATCCAAATTCATTACTGTTAAATCAAGTACCTAGACACAGGTATGTGTGGATTAACAAAGAACACATCCTGATGAATGGAGTTGTGTACCTGGGCCAGGTATATGATGACGACCAGCGGTTTCAGACACCTACCTAATATTCTTAAGTAATGTTCATGGACATTTATAAACAATGAATCAGTGAATGTTTGGAATTCCAGAGATCAGGGGAGTGTTTGAAATAATAAGACAAGTAAAGAGAACTGAAACAAACACAAATAGGGACGGACGTACAGTGCCAGATAGAATGACCAGGCCAACATCATCCTCGATACCGCAAGGGTTTCACTTAATTACGTTCTCTGCACCCCTGGAATATGTTATAACAAAATCAAAGGCTCAGTGTGTGCCACATTGTTGATGAGACAAGAAGATTAGTTTGATCGTTTGACGTACATCAAAATAATCTGTCGGTCATATGACGGTAAAATTGACTGGTTTTGAAGTCGGGCGTTGTTCCTCTTTTAATCTTCAAAGGACAGGTATTGGCCTAGCTATCGGTCAGGTTTTTTTCCTGAGACCAATCAAATAGTGTTCCTTCAATTTTGCTATGACATATTCCAGGGGTGCAGAGGGCTTAAGTGAGGATTACCCCTGGAGTAATGAGGATGTGCACATTTATTTATTCCAGGTGAGTACCTCATTAGTTAGTACTCAAAACAGGGATACCACCATCACCCAGGCTCTGGTGTTGTCAGCTTATGGTAATTACATACAGCAAGTCTCTTCAGAGAATTGGCCCCACTTTGGTGGGTTTTTTTGGCGACTATGCTTGCATTGTTACAAATTTGAAGTTGTAAATTTCGTATACGATAATACAAGAGGACCAATGGGCCTGCATCTCTCACCCAGTATTAATCTCACACTTGCAACCTTAAAAGTGAACTAAAATAAAGCTATAGGCAATGTAAGTCGAAGGACATTCATTGAACAAACTTGGTAATTCTTCATCCAAGCATTCTACTGACTAAATAACATCACCCTAGGCCTCTTGGTTATTCAGAAGAAGTTGTTTAAAGAAAAAAATCTGATGCCGAACAATGGACGGATGGTGGATGCCACACCATGTCATAAGCTCACTTGCTCCTTTGGACCAGGAGAGCCAAAAAACAAATATGACATCCTGAAAATAAGAACAACCTTTTTTTTTCCTTGAGGAATTTTGTAGTACCGGTAGGTTTGCAGCAATGCTTGGTTTTATAAAAAATATTACAAAATAAATCCTGTAGGACCTACGGTGTGAGCAGATCAAACTTGATTGCCACAGGGCTGTAGTTTTGATTAGTTTCTTAAAAAAATACAGATAAAGCAAAATAAGTAAAATATCCTCCCCTCAAAAATCCCTACGATGATCGAGACCTAGACTTTGTGGACACGATGATGCTTGCATGTTGGTCATAATTCGTCCTTCTTGTTGTGTAGATTGACTGCCTCGCTATTGACCTCGCCCAAGATGGTGACCGAGTCCTCGGTGTCGGAGAAGTAGCTCTGTTCACCGGTGTAGTGGGTTGGGTACACCAAGAAGGGGTAGGCAGACAGACCTACTATGTCTCTTGGTGAAAACTGTTCTTTCCACTTACCCCTGAAACATGGACATAAGTAAATAAGGAACTGTCACAGCTACACAATCGCCAATACATTTTGCTTTTTCTGTGCTAATTTGCCATTCATTGAACTGATTACAAACTTTTGGAATATTTATTGAATAAATTTGAATGAAAACTTGTGCTTTTTGCATATGGGTTTGATTACTCTAACATAATCATGTAATTTTATCTACAAAGTTAAGGAATGTCTCAAACTTATAATGGTTGCACTGGAGCTAGGAACTGAGATTCTGTTAAATATTACAGTTATTGTTTGTGAAGCAGAAGTGATGTAATTGCCAAATTTTTTTTAACCACATAATAAAAAATACCACACTTATAACAGGAAAACTCATTTTGAACTAGCTCACATAATTTTCATCACAGGTAAATACCAAAGCAATACTAAAACAAGAAAACTAAAAGAAATTGATTCTCAAAAACATTGTGAAATTTGCATCAGCTGTTAATAAAGGTAACGGTCATACTGAAGGGTAGAGGAATGTTGAGGAAGAAGTACCCGTAAATCACTGGTGATCTGGTGTTCCGGTACAGCAGTTTCTTTTATAAAGTGACATCGACTTTTTGTTTAGCTTTTAAGTGATACATTTGTATCAGTCATTATACATTGTAATGTCCAAATTAAAAAATGTTAAACATTGCAGTAGAACATATTTTATGAGGTATTACAAATATTATTGTGCAGCTCGGCTAGAAAAATAACACTGTTTACATTGTAGAAGGACACTGTTCCTAATGTGACAGTTACACCTCATGATGAAGCCCTTAACTCATTGACCCCTGAAGACACATTTGAACTCTCCCAATTCAAATGTTGGAATAGTTCATTATGAAATTTGAGAGGGTGAATGAGTGAAGTCCATGAAGAACCTTGAGAAAAGGAATTCAAGGTATCCGAATTAACATAGGGACAAACTTGTCAAAAGTGGGGTATAGTGTGGAGGGAAATTTATACATGGTGTTATCAAAACTATGGGGATATAATCACCCATATAAAGTATGAAGGAATACTCACTCAGGGTGTTTGTCAAACATAATCGGGAGGTACTCATCAACAGGAATCATCTTGCTGAGGGGTTCCTGCTGGAGAAGTTTTTTTGCCCCGCGGTTAGACAGAATATAACTCAGTGTCCAGTAAGAGTAGCTTGGCCAGACAAGAGTCTCTGACCCTTCAACATAACTTTCCTCTGAGATCTTCAAACGTTTGCGACCAAGATATCTGAAATGAATTTTTTAAAAATCCAATAAAAATCTCCTACCATTTACTGAAATGATTCATCAAAACAGTAGGAGACCACAAGGAAACTAGATGATTACCCCTGTGGTACCTAGGACATACTCCAGCTAACCCTAGATGATGACCCCTGTGGTACCTAGGACATATTCCAGCTAACACTAGATGATGATCCCTGTGGTACCTTAGACATACTCCAGCTAACAAACTAGATGATTACCCCTGTGGTACCTAGGACATAGTCCAGCTAACCCTAGATGATGACCCCTGTGGTACCTTAGACATACAGTAGGAGACCACAAGGAAACTAGATGATTACCCCTGTGGTACCTCGGACATACTCCAGCTAACCCTAGATGATGACCCCTGTGGTACCTAGGACATACTCCAGCTACTAGATGATTACCCCTGTGGTACCTAGGACATCCTCCAGCTAACCCTAGATGATGATCCCTGTGGTACCTAGGAAATACTCCAGCTAACACTAGATGATGACCCCTGTGGGACCTAGGACATACTCCAGCTAACACTAGATGATGATCCCTGTGGTATCTAGGACATAATCCAGCTAACACTAGTTGATGACCCCTGTGGTACCTAGAACATACTCCAGCTAACCCTAGATGATGACCCCTGTGGTACCTATAACATACTCTAGCTAACACTAGATGATGACCCCTGTGGTACCTAGGACATATTCCAGCTAACACTAGATGATGATCCCTGTGGTATCTAGGACATACTCCAGCTAACACTAGTTGATGACCCCTGTGGTACCTAGAACATACTCCAGCTAACACTAGATGATGACCCCTGTGGTATCTAGGACATCCTCCAGCTAACACTAGATGATGACCCCTGTGGTACTTAGGACATACTCCAGCTAACACTAGATGATGATCCCTGTGGTATGTAGGACATACTCCAGCTAACACTAGTTGATGACCACTGTGGTACCTAGGACATAATCCAGCTAACACTAGATGATGACCCCTGTGGTACCTTAGACATACTCCAGCTAACACTAGATGATGACCCCCGTGGTACCTTAGACATACTCCAGCTAACACTAGATGATGACCCCTGTGGTACCTAGACATACTCCAGCTAACACTAGATGATCCCTGTGGTATCTAGGACATACTCCAGCCTACACTAGATGATGACCCCTGTGGTACCTAGAACATACTCCAGCTAACACTAGATGATGATCCCTGTGGTACCTTAGACATACTCCAGCTAACACTAGATGATCCCTGTGGTACCTAGGACATACTCCAGCCTACACTAGATGATGACCCCTGTGGTACCTAGGACATCCCCCAGCTAACACTAGATGATCCCTGTGGTATCTAGGACATACTCAAGCCTACACTAGATGATGACCCCTGTGGTACCTAGGAAATCCTCCAGCTAACACTAGATGATCCCTGTGGTATCTAGGACATACTCAAGCCTACACTAGATGATGACCCCTGTGGTACCTAGGAAATCCTCCAGCTAACACTAGATGATCCCTGTGGTATCTAGGACATACCCCAGCCTACACTAGATGATGACCCCTGTGGTACCTAGAACATACTCCAGCTAACACTATATGATGATCCCTGTGGTACCTTAGACATACTCCAGCTAACACTAGATGATGAGCCCTGTGGTACCTAGGACATACTCCAGCTAACACTAGATGATGACCCCCGGTGGTACCTAGGACATACTCCAGCTAACACTAGATGATGACCCCTGTGGTACCTTAGACATTCTCCAGCTAACACTAGATGATGACCCCCGTGGTACCTTAGACATACTCCAGCTAACACTAGAAGATGACCCCTGTGGTACCTTAGACATACTCCAGCTAACACTCGATGATGGCTCCTGTGGTACCTAGTACATACTTCAGCTAACACTAGTTGATGACCCCTGTGGTACCTAGGACATACTTCAGCTAACACTAGATGATGACCCCTGTGGTACCTAGGACATACTCCAGCTAACACTAGATGATGACCCCTGTGGTACCTTAGACATTCTCCAGCTAACACTCGATGATGGCTCCTGTGGTACCTAGTACATACTTCAGCTAACACTAGTTGATGACCCCTGTGGTACCTAGGACATACTCGAACTAACAATAGATGATGACCCCTGTGGTACCTAGGACATACTCCAGCTAACACTAGATGACCCCTGTGGTACCTTAGACATACTCCAGCTAACACTAGATGATGATCCCTGTGGTACCTAGGACATATTCCAGGTAAAACTCGATGATGAACCCTGTGGTACCTAGGACATACTCGAGCTAACACTAGATGATGCCCCCTGTGGTACCTAGGACATACTCCAGCTAACACTAGATGATGACCCCGGTGGTACCTAGGACATACTCCAGCTAAGACTAGATGATGACCCCTGTGGTTCCTAGGCTGTGGTAACAAAGACATATTCCAGCTAACACTAGATGATGACCCCTGGGGTTCCTAGGACATACTCCAGCTAACACTATATGATGACCCCTGTGGTTCCTAGGACATACTCCAGCTAACACTAGATGATGCCCCCTGTGGTACCTAGGACATACTCCAGCTAAGACTAGATGATGACCCCGGTGGTACCTAGGACATACTCCAGGTAACACTCGATGATGAACCCTGGCTAACACTAGATGATGACCCCTGTGGTACCTGGGACATACTCCAGCTAACACTTGATGATGATCCCTGTGGTACCTAGGAAATACTCCAGCTAACACTAGATGAAGACCCCTGTGGTACCTAGGACCTACTCCAGCTAACACTCGATGATGAACCCTGGCTAACACTAGATGATGACCCCGGTGGTACCTAGGACATCCTCCAGCTAACCCTAGATGATCACCCCTGTGGTACCTAGGACATTCTCCAGCTAACACTAGATGATTACCACTGTAGTACCTAGGACATACTCGAGCTAACACTAGATGATGCCCCCGGTGGTACCTAGGACATCCTCCAGCTAACCCTAGATGATGACCCCTGTGGTCCCTAGGACATACTCCAGCTAACACTAGTTGATGACCCCTGTGGTACCTACGACATACTCCAGCTAACCCTAGATGATGACCCCTGGGGTTCCTAGGACATACTCCAGCTAACCCTAGATGATGCTAACACTAGTTGATGACCCCTGTGGTACCTACGACATACTCCAGCTAACCCTAGATAATGACCCCTGTGGTACATAGGACATACTCCAGCTAACACTAGATGATGACCCCTGTGGTACCTAGGACCTACTCCAGCTAACACTCGATGTTGACCCCTGTGGTACCTACAGCAAATCCCAGTCGGGTATTCGATCCTCCACCTCCTGAAGTAGACGCATCAGCTTGGTCCTGAAGTACGGCTCAAATCTCACGTCATCCTCTAACACTAGTGTAGACTTGTAACCCTTGTCAAGGATCTGAAACACAAGGTCAATACCTCAGGCTTATTTCTGCTGAGTTTCCCATCATGAGCATACAGCACAATGTTCGAGTAGAAATAAGATTGTAACATAGCTCTTTATTATATAAGTAAAAAGGTATACCTCCTTCCAAATGAAAAAGTGACTGAGAAAGCATCCTATTTCTCCCATTGTAAGGGACCTGAAAGTAGAAAAAATATCACAAAATTATAATCATTATCAATACATCATGGTATGTGGCTTTTATCCAGGCATTGTATACGATTTGTGTTTTTACTTTCAGGCTTTTTATTAATCAATTACACATCATGCTGTTTCAAAAGGCACAATACATATTTATTTTTTTCAAAATTTCTGCAGTATTTACATTAAAGCAACATAAGAAATACAGTATCATTATAAACAATTACATATCAGTTGTGTGAATATGATTATACTTTGATTCATAAACAACTTTAACATAAACTGATATAAATTGAACATCAGGAAAGACTTTCTACTTCTCCTAGTTAATCTAGTAAATTCAAAACTCATTTAAATTGTCTCAACAAAAGGATATACAGGAATTTGTATTTTGGTGCAAAGATGAATTTCTTGAATGTAACGCATCATACAATTTTTCTTTCTCAGTCTTTCTGTAAAGTTGGTGAGATAAAGGCTGGTTACTGGCCAGCATACTATACAACATCATACAACAGCCTGTCTGTACAGATGGTGAGATAAAGGCTGGTTACTGGCCAGCATACTATACAACATCATACACCAGCCTGTCTGTACAGATGGTGGGATAAAGGCTGGTTACTGGCCAGCATACTATACAACATCATACAACAGCCTGTCTGTACAGATGGTGAGATAAAGGCTGGTTACCTGCCAGCATAAGGGTCTGCATATCCATCCATCATCTCAACTCCCAGCTTGTCTAAGTAGGTGTTATTTAGCTGTCTGTAACATACCAACAAGTTACCTATTAAATCACAGAAATCACAAACAATTCATGGAATTATGTTCCATAAACCAGAACTGACATCTAACCTCGACGACCTTTACAGAGAGCATGTTTGTCTGAGCAAATTTGCTGAATATTGATAGCATAAAAATCCCTTAACCTGGTATATACAGACCTGAGTCAAAACAAGTTGAAAGTTGTTATAATTGCAGAACTTATTATGATTATGCACGAGTAATCTCATTAAATATTTGTGAATCATGTTTTAACAGTTCTCTATACTTTATTCAGCAAGTCCGACATTAATTAAGCCCCTAACACAAAGGGCTCAGTACTCCAGACTGGTTATAGTCTCGACTCCAAATACAGAATTAAAGTCTGGTATTATTTTACATATTTTCACAACCTACCTCCCATCTACAGCATCAAAGATGGTAACCTGGATGCCTAATTCTTTCAGTGCTTCCATCATTCTCTGTCGGCGTTCAGGTCTCCGCACTAGGTTTATCATGTAAATCTGGGGGGAAAGGAACAGGCGTGTCAAATGTATTCCCAGCTTAAACAGGATGGTGACAACTCCTGTCCTTTATCTTTAATGCCTGATTTACTGAGAGATGGTTTACTACACTACCAGGATCCCATATTATTATGTATTATGATTACATGTTACCTTATATTACACATTATTATACCTGCCAGTTCTGTTAGATTTATCTCCCTTGGGAGTTTATATCCTTCTCATATAGAGTGGAATCAGTAAAGGTATCTTAATGAATGAATTGTCATATATAATTTGTTATCAATGAATCTTTATACATAAACTATGTCTAGTGGATTTGTTGGTGTGGACCTTTTCTGAAAAACAAGTACAACATTGAATACACCCTTAACTTTTAAAACAGAAAAAAGTGAATATTCTTAACAAATCATAACACAAAAAGATATTATACATTTAAATGGACAAATAATTTTTCTATTAATACTAGTCAAGCCTCGATGGACTAGTCTACAACATTAACCTAAACATTGTGTATATATATGTATGTCAGTGACAATCATGATCAGTAGGTTTTTCATATAGGAACATCGACCGTATACATGACCAGGGCCTGAGCAGTCAATGATGAGAGTGACCGGTCACATGTTAGCTAATTGCTGTCTGATTGGCTTAGAGGATTCCTGATAGCTAGCTGGTCACTTTTTGCCCAGCGTCCGGAGCTAAATGATCAATCTCATAAGTTTTATATTTCTCCAAAACCAAAACAGATCATTCACCTTACAAACATAAATTAACTAATATATAGGAATCTACACCGACATAGTCCAGAAGATGATGGCTATTATATTAGAGTTGGAGAACAAAATGTTGATACCTCATCAAACATCATCTTGTCTGCGACTGGATCCTCGACGTCTATGTAAGGCGACCTGCGCAGCGGAGGTCTCTTTACTGTGGGAGGTAATAAGATATGTACGATAAATATGAGATTCAATACAAAGATACCAATAAAAACATACATGGTGATTTAAGTGCATGGTACATATTGATTCAAGTGTATGGTACATGTACATGGTGATTCAAGTTGTATGGTACATAGAGATTCAAGTGTATGATACATAGTGTGTCAAGTGTATGGTACATGGTGATTCAAGTGTATGATACATAGTGTGTCAAGTGTGTGATACCTAATGATTCAAGTGTATGCTACATAGTGTTTCAAGTGTATGGTACATGGTGATTCAAGTGTATGATACATAGTGTCAAGTGTATGGTACATGGTGATTCAAGTGTGTGATACATAGTGTGTCAAGTGGATGGTACATGGTGATTCAAGTATATGATACATAGTGTGTAAAGTGTATGATACATAGTGTGTCAAGTATATGGTACATGGTGATTCAATTGTGTGATACATAGTGTGTCAAGTGTATGGTACATGGTGATTCAAGTATATGATACATAGTGTGTCAAGTGTATGGTACATGTACATGGTGATTCAAGTTGTATGGTACATGGTGATTCAAGTGTGTGATACATAGTGTGTCAAGTGTATGATACATAGTGTGTCAAGTGTATGATACATAGTGTGTCAAGTGTATGATACATAGTGATTCAGGTGTGTGATACATAGTGATTCAGGTGTGTGATACATAGTGTGTCAAGTTGTATGGTACATGGTGATTCAAGTGTATGATACATAGTGTGTCAAGTGTATGGTACATGGTGATTCAAGTCAGTGTTCTCACTAAGTTTTGAAACCGATGATTAACTAGGAAAGAATAGTTGTTTGAATATTCATATTCTATAATGTTGACCTATTACTTATTCTAGAAAACATAGCTGGTTCCAAGTAGATGAATCTTTTACTGAGAACACTGCAAGTGTATGGTACATATTGATTCAAGTATATGGTGCATATTGATTCAAGTGTATGGTGCATATTGATTCAAGTGTATGGTACATATTGATTCAAGTGTATGGTACATATTGATTCAAGTGTATGATACATATTGATTCAAGTGTATGGTACATATTGATTCAAGTGTATGATATGAACATGCTGCCAGTCTACTTTGAATACGGAAACAGAAAACTAAATATTTTACATAAAAAGATTAAGACATGCTTGTATTTCTTTAAGATATGATCATTTCATATTATACATTTCATTATACATAATGAATTCCACTTTCACACATACTTTCATACTAATTAATATTGCTCTTTTTGTAAGTGGTATTTTATTTTTTTGTAATGTTATATTAGAAAGGAAGGAAAATCAGATAAGAGAAACAAGAAAACAAAGAAATAAAGGAAATAAAGATAGGTAAATGGACAGAAAGAAAATCAGACAGACAGACAGACAGGCAGACAGACGGAAAGATAGACAGAAAAGAGGAAAAGTACCAGTGTTAAACAAACCAATTTAAAGGATAGAAGTCTGGTAATATATAGGTGTCAGTAGCTAAGTAATTAAGATAATACATTGAATGTTTAAATTTTGTCTTTTTTTTTTTCAAAATAAATTTAAATTAGATCTAACACATAAACAATCGTCAAAATGTAGGTCTAGGAAATATCAATAAGCCTTTTCCATTTTTTCCATTCATTCTGGAAATTAATGAGATATATTTCGTCTTTACTATTTGCCATATATTTTTGCATACTGTAATGTTCTTTAAAGGGGCTGGTCGGGGAAAAAATTACAAAATAAATGGGTCTAAATGCGTTCTCTGGCCTTCCAAAAGTTATATACCACGGCAATATGATGGTCGAGATCTGCTTGCAATGTCCAGTTTTGACCACTGAAATCTCGGGGAAGCCCCGCGTAAATTTAGAGCAGATCTATTTAGCCAGTTTTCTCATGGTTAATCTAACAGATATATTCTCTGGGGTGGCTATGAGTCTAGTCGCTTCTCTGGATTCCTCCAGAGTCTAGTGACTTCTCTTGCCTTCTTCGGAGTCTAGCGTTTCCAATTCATAGTCTTTTATAGCTTCTCCATGGATATTAGGAGTCTAGTCGCTTCTCTGGAGTCGTTCAGAGTCTAGCTGCTTCTCTTGTTTTCTTTGGAGTCTAGCTCGCGTTCTTTATCAAGTTTCTCTGCGTTATAGCTTCTCCATGGAAATTAGGAGTCTAGTCGCTTCTCTGGAGTCGTTCAGAGTCTAGCTGCTTCTCTTGTTTTCTTTGGAGTCTAGCTCGCGCTCTTTATCAAGTTTCTCTGTGACTTCGCAGAGTCTAGCTTCCTTTAAAATCTTTTGAAAAGAATTTGTTACTATTAGTAGGTTTGCTATAGAGTGAGTAGCCCCTGATACGCCAAATGTTTGCAGTAGGTTTTAGTACTTGTTCTTTGCTTGCACAAACATATCTGTGTCTTAACTCAAGTAATAAACAGGTTAACTCTTTCATTGTGTGAAGTTATGTATAAAATATGTCACATGGTTGTTTCGAAAGTGAGGCAGTGAAGATAACAACAATAGCACGCCGTCTATCAGCCATGACGGACTCAACTAGCGGACAAGACAGCATTACTATACGTAAATAATTGTTTTCAAAGGTCATGTATGATGCAAGTGTAGTATTCCTACCTATATGTTGTTGTTATATATAACGGTGTTGATACCTCGTGCCTGTCATGACTTTTGCATGCATCTTTTTCTTTCGCCGCGATGTTTACATTTTGCCTTGTTGATAACGCACATGCGGTAAAATTACATCACTGATCTGGGTCAATTGAGAGTTTTAGACTGTCAGGTGACGATTTAGGATTTCTTTAATATAATTATAATTTTTTACTCTTAGGGAGTGAATTTCAGCAAAATTTGAATCGGTATATTTCATAAGAAGGTATTTTAAACATGTGTATGCCATTTTAGCAAATATGACATTTTTTCCCCCAACAGACCCTTAAATTGAACTTTTAATTCCTTGTATAGATAAAGGCACTTTAAGACATCTTGCCTTGTATATATGCTGTTTTATTATTAAAATAATACTATTGTCACTTTTATTAAGTCCATTATAGTTATAAAAACCAAAAAGAAATGTTTGTTTATTATAATCAAATGGAATAATCAATGCATCTAATAAGAACTCAAAATTTTTGTAAAAGATTTTGTACTTTGTCACATTCCCATAATACATGCTCTATTGTGTTTATTTCTAGTTTACACAGTTCACAGTAAGGGCTATCTACTATTCCTGCCTTAACAAATATGCATTAGTTGTCAAAATGTGCTGATTAATTCTGTACCGGAACCACTGTAATTTGGCATTTTTCGTAATTTCAAATGGCATTTTATATATTTTTTTCCGAACTTCATCATCAAATTGAAATATATCAGTATAGAAGTTTATTAAAGACAGTGGTAGGTTCTAAATTCTCTCTCTCTCTCTCTCTTGCTCACTCTTTTCGTTCTTCTACTACACTCATTCGTTCTTCTCTATCTCCTTTTTTTTTTCTGTGTTATTTTCATTTGTGGTTTGTGTAAAATTTATTGATGTTGCCATGTACATTGTATAAAATATTTCTGGGAGAAGGCTCCATAAGTTGGAATAACTTTGCAAATTTTGAAATAAAATATGAATAAATCAAATGAAATGTATTGTACAATGATAATTATGAAGAAGATACATAATACAATGGAAAACTAATGAACTAATTAGTCTTATCAACAAAACTCATGTTGAGAGGTCATAGAATACATAAATTAGAATAGAAAACAACAGTGCATGCTACAGTATAAGTATACTAAAAGATTATATTAACACTACATGTGATTATATCTATGTTGATTCTACTTTGTAAGTCTACATGATTATATTGATACATGATAAGATGATTTTCAACCATTCCCCAGAGATCCATCATTGTGATTTGATCAGCCATTCGTCTGTTGATGGTGGGCTAAAATGTTGATGCTTCGAAATCTTGGTCAATGTCTCTTGAATGTTTATTGCATTCTTCATTTTTTACTATTATTAATATAATATTATCTCAAATCAAAAACAAAATTCAAAAAAGGATGGAATTACTCATTATTAGTATATACGTATAGTAATACACAGGTGCAAAGCATTGTTTTAAAATTAGTGATTATAAATAGCAACATATTTGTGTTGCAGTCCCTTTTGGAGTGTTTCTTAATAAATCAAAGTAATGTTTTTGAGTGGAAATATACAGCTCTACACACATCATGCGAGAAAATGAACCTCTAGCTGCTTTCCTGAAACCAAATACGACTCATCTCAAAATAGAGGACAATTGTGTTCTCACCTAAAATCTAAAGCCTACACCACTTCTGTAGTACATGTCCTTGGTCTACAAGTCTACACCACTTCTGTAGTACATGTCCTTGGTCTACAACCCTACACTACTTCTGTAGTACATGTCCTTGGTCTACAAGCCTACACTACTTCTGTAGTTCATGTCCTTGGTCTACAACCCTACACTACTTCTGTAGTACATGTCCTTGGTCTACAAGCCTACACTACTTCTGTAGTACATGTCCTTGGTCTACAACCCTACACTACTTCTGTAGTACATGTCCTTGGTCTACAAGCCTACACTACTTCTGTAGTACATGTCCTTGGTCTACAACCCTACACTACTTCTGTAGTACATGTCCTTGGTCTACAAGCCTACACTACTTCTGTAGTACATGTCCTTGGTCTACAACCCTACACTACTTCTGTAGTACATGTCCTTGGTCTACAAGCCTACACTACTTCTGTAGTACATGTCCTTGGTCTACAACCCTACACTACTTCTGTAGTACATGTCCTTGGTCTACAAGCCTACACTACTTCTGTAGTACATGTCCTTGGTCTACAACCCTACACTACTTCTGTAGTACATGTCCTTGGTCTACAACCCTACACTACTTCTGTAGTACATGTCCTTGGTCTACAAGTCTACACTACTTCTGTAGTACATGTCCTTGGTCTACAACCCTACACTACTTCTGTAGTACATGTCCTTGGTCTACAAGTCTACACTACTTCTGTAGTACATGTCCTTGGTCTACAAGTCTACACCACTTCTGTAGTACATGTCCTTGGTCTACAAGTCTTCATCACTTCTGTAGTACATGTCCTTGGTCTACAACCCTACACCACTTCTGTAGTTCATGTTCTTGGTCTACAAATCTACACCACTTCTGTAGTACATGTCCTTGGTCTACAACCCTACACCACTTCTGTAGTTCATGTTCTTGGTCTACAAATCTACACCACTTCTGTAGTACATGTCCTTGGTCTACAACCCTACACTACATCTGTAGTACATGTCCTTGGTCTACAGGTCTACACCACTTCTGTAGTACATGTCCTTGGTCTACAAGTCTACACCACTTCTGTAGTACATGTCCTTGGTCTACAACCCTACACTACTTCTGTAGTACATGTCCTTGGTCTACAAGCCTACACTACTTCTGCAGTACATGTCCTTGGTCTACAACCCTACACTACTTCTGCAGTACATGTCCTTGGTCTACAAGTCTACACCACTTCTGTAGTACATGTCCTTGGTCTACAACCCTACACTACTTCTGTAGTACATGTCCTTGGTCTACAACCCTACACTACTTCTGTAGTACATGTCCTTGGTCTACAAGCTATCAGTGTCATCACCTTGACATTGTACCTATTCACCTCAAACACAATCATAGAGTACCTTCTATTGAATTATCATGTGTTTGAAAACTGTATGGGCAATACATGAAAGAGAACTTATGACACAGAATTGTCATTGAAAGGTGACGGAGCTAGATTGATCACGATGTATTCCGTTCTCCAGGGGATGAAGGATATCGTGTCCAGTATCAGGTAAAACCCCAGTCACAATTGCACCGATTTCCGAAAAGGCGATGAGTTTCTTAGCCAAATTCAGCCGGCAAGCCAGGGAATCATAAGGACGCCGGGAGTTTATCGGTCGCTATTGGCCAAATTTTAGACGCCGCACGGGTCACCGGGAGCTTTTAGCGTGGAGATAAAAGTTGCCAGTGACCCCCCCGATTTGTTCTGACCCAAAGTCATTGAAATCTACCCGGAAGTCTCCCGTCAGGTAAGGATTTCGTAAGATTATCTTACAGCTCCCGGTGGCATCGTACGGTCGTTTTGGTGCTGATTTGTTTGCTTCCCTATATATACACGCCATATAAAATGTATCATTCAGATGTCCATTTGATTTAATCCAGCAAATTGTTTACAGGGGCCGTGCGGTGCCCATATCTACTGTGACCAAATCCCAGATATCGAAAAAAAATCCCTGGCACCCCAGGAAGCCGGCCAATTCTTACTTTCCGGCTGGTGGCTGGCGCAAATGTGACTGAAGCATAAGCAGTTTGTTGATTAATAAAAGCACTCCAGCTTCCACATAGTTTTAAGAGACAGATAAGTACTAATTCTACTATATAAAATAAGCTTTTAAACTTATGAGCAAAAAAAGTCTCTATGCAACCTCACAAACACAGGTCATGAGCACACACACGGAAGGTAGGATTAGAACAGGTATCGTAAAGGACCTTAATTAGGTAACAAGTGAAATAACACAGTCCTGATTGGGCCCACATCAAGCCCTTGTTACTACTCAGTGTTATAATTGGGGAAAATATATTTCTTCACGCCAAAACAAAATATTGCATGGCTCTAGAGGCATCCACTTGTCACAAGCAAAGGGAGAGAAGTGTAAATTGATGCACTATCAATTTTCGTGGTAATTTCATTCAATAATTAGAAATTGAATTTGTTCTGAAGTTAAACTGTAGAGCAAATAAATAACATCTTTCTTTCACAAAAAGGATGTGGAACTATACAACAAGTGACAGTTCATGGATGTCAGTTCACTGAAAAGTGTTCTCCATCAATAGGTAACAGTTTGACAATATACATGTAAAAGCGAAATCCCTGTTTATTTTCATGCAACAGGAAAACGATACCGATTTATGCGGGTTGTTGCCTGTCGGACAATCTCTACTATATAGAACCGAGTAAAGGCCATTCCTAAATATGGTTATTAGAGGGTTCATGATCAGTGTAAAAAGCTATGTATACCTGGATATTGTCTGTCTCCTAGCTCCTCATATATAAAGTCAGCGTCTAACCATCAATGTAGAAAATACTTACACACGCCAATCAACATAATTCCAGGCAGTTTCAGGTCAAATGCATGCACAATTTATTTTTGTCTATCTCCTACCAAGTCTCACTAAACACCTTAGGTTTTGACCAAATACCGACATCTTTTAAGTACATATGTACCACAAATCAAGGGCAAAAAAAAAAACTTTTATTAATACTTGTACCATAAATCCAGGCCAATCTTTCTTGACTCTGCATCTAAATGTACAATATATTTCTTCTCTGTATCTCTCCCTGTATCTTAAACAAAATATCCCTACCAACCATTTCCATTTGAGTGCCTTGTAACTAAACACTAAAGGTCCAAACCAACCTTTTCTCTTAAGCTCCCTGTATTTAACTAAACACCAACCAGGGTACTCAAAATCCAGACCACTGTTCACTTCCCTGTATCTAAATATTATAGATCAAGGCCAACATTTTCTTTCCCTGTAACTAATGTAATACCACAGATCCTGGAAGTTTCTCCTCGTTGTATCTAAACATTGATGCTCCAAAGATCAACCTATCCCCTCTCTGCTTCTACATATAAATACTCAATAGACCATTCTTCCCCCTTTCCATTTCTTCTGACATTTAATTATCACCAGTCAATAGCCTTCAATTAACTTAGTGACTTAAAGGATTTCAACAAACACATTTTCCTAATTACTGCCCATATATATATAATGAAAATGTATCTACATTAAATATAAGATAAACATAAAAACACAGTTTATTTTAAGATACAATCGATATGCAACTAAAATACAAAAGACAAACAGACTGTTGATCTGGTATTGTACATTTTAAAATAATCAATTTAACCGAATAGATAAATAAATATCGACTTTTAAAATGATTTCCTGATTACATAAGAAGAACTTTTATGTCACCTAATATATCAACACCTTATAGTTATTGCTTCTACCTTCCTATGCTAAAATAACCTAATAATTAATAAAAATAAAATAAAAATAAATTTAAGTTTGAACCAATCACTGAACAGAATTATGACCTGTACTTACCCATAGTCTCTAGTTTGATAAAGGTGAAGTGATCCGACTCATCTCGTAGGGTGTTGTAGTAATCGAGGGGTATCATCACCTTCCCAAAGTATTCAGTGTTCAACACATACATGCTTAGACCTGCAAACAAGTGTAAACAATAGCAAGAGGATCTGTAGGCCTGTATCGCTCAGTTCACCTCGCATATGTCACCTTCAAGTGAGTTCATTTATTACATTTCCTTTGTATGGTCCTTAGATAAACCCATTAACAGCAAGAACTGTTACATGGGATAGTTTCCCAATGGGAAACTATCCAGGTAATTCTGTTTGAGTGTTATTTGTTTTAAAAATGCCAACTGACTTTAAATAAAATTTACCTTATCTTATCTTATCTTATCTTATATTATCTTACCGCCTAAAGGAACTGCTTACCATAGAAAGTAGGATCTTGTTACCGTAAAATTAGCTGTTCCGCTATTTGGAAAAACAGTTTGTATAAAATATGTTTTTACCGGAATGAGACAATAAAGAGCGATAAAATGATATTGTCTTTATTGATCTGAATGTTAATATGAGGAATCAAATACGTTTCAACAAAACTGTGTAGCGTACCATCATAAATTTGAATAAAAATTATGCATTTCAATCCTTAGATATCATGTTCTGACAGATTGCCACCGAAATAACACAACCCACACATTGTATACTAAAAGGCCTCTGGGATAAGAATGCTACGACAGAAGGGCATCATACTTAAACTCATCGCATTTCTAGCTAGAACCCTGGACAGCATATATACCAAAGTAAATACTATTCTAGTACTCCGGGAATAATACCAAGGTCAATATAATTCTAGAACCCAGGACATAATACCAAGGTCAATACTATTCTATTACCCTGGACATAATACCAAGGTCAATACTAATCTAGAACCCAGTACATAATACCAAGGTCAATACTATTCTATTACCCTGGACATAATACCAAGGTCAATACTAATCTAGAACCCAGGACATAATACCAAGGTCAATACTATTCTATTACCCAGGACATAATACCAAGGTCAATACTAATCTAGAACCCAGTACATAATACCAAGGTCAATACTATTCTATTACCCTGGACATAATACCAAGGTCAATACTAATCTAGAACCCAGGACATAATACCAAGGTCAATACTATTCTAGTACCCAGGACATAATACCAAGGTCAATACTAATCTAGTACCCAGGACACAATACCAAGGTCAATACTATTCTAGTACCCAGGACATAATACCAAGGTCAATACTAATCTAGTACCCAGGAAATAATACCAAGGTCAATACTAATCTAGTACCCAGGACATAATACCAAGGTCAATACTATTCTAGTACCAAGGACATAATACCAAGGTCAATACTATTCTATTACCCTGGACATAATACCAAGATCAATACTAATCTAGTAACCTGGACATATAATACCAAGGTCAATACTAATCTAGTACCCAGGCGTAATACCAAGGTCAATACTAATCTAGTACCCAGGACATAATACCAAGGTCAATACTATTCTATTACCCTAGACATAATACCAAGATCAATACTAATCTAGTAACCTGGACATATAATACAAAGGTCAATACTAATCTAGAACCCAGGACATAATACCAAGGTCTATACTATTCTAGTACCCAGACATTATACCAAGGTCAATACTAAGCTAGTACCCAGGACATAATACCAAGGTCAATCCTAATCTAGTACCCAGGCGTAATCCCAAGGTCAATACTAATCTAGAACCCAGTACATAATACCAAGATCAATACTAATCTAGTAACCTGGACATATAATTCCAAGGTCAATACTATTCTAGTCCCCAGGACATTATACCAAGGTCAATACTATTCTAGTACCCAGGACATCATATCAAGGTCAATACTATACCAGTACCCAGGACATAATACCAAAAGCACAAACCTCTGTTTAAAGACTTACCAGCTGCTTTTACAGAGTAGGCAAAAATAATGATGTCATCATATGGGCCGTTGTAATTCTCAGGCGCAGGATTGTAGGCAATCTTTTCTGTCAGCAAATGATGCATATTGATGAGGAAAGCTGAGTGAACCATAGGTACTTTGAAACACCCAGTCAGTTTTCTGCCCACCATGTCAAAGTAATCATCTGACCTGCTATAGTACCCCTGTAGAACACAATGTCAAACATAGTCTGATACCATGTGGTGTTATATCACCCAAGGCGACACCAGAATTCAGACACGATCTCATGACGTAAAACATACAGTCTGTCTGATACCATGTGGTGTTATATCATCCAAGGCGACACCAGAATTCAGACATGATCTCATGATGTAAAACATGCAGTCTGTCTGATACCATGTGATGTTATATCCCCCAAGGCGACACCAGAATTCAGACATGAACTCATGATGTAAAACATGCAGTCTGTCTAATACCATGTGATTTTATATCACCCAAGGCGACACCAGAATTCAGACATCATCTCATGATGTAAAACATACAGTCTGTCTCATACCATGTGGTGTTATATCACCCAAGGCGACACCAGAATTCAGACATGAACTCATGATGTAAAACATGCAGTCTGTCTGATACCATGTGATGTTATATCACCCACGGCGACACCAGAATTCAGACATGATATCATGATGTAAAAAATACAGTCTGTCTGATACCATGTGTTGTTATATCACACAAGGCGACACCAGAATTCAGACAAGATCTCATGATGTAAAACATAGTCTGATAGCATGTGATGTTATATCACCCAAGGCGAAACCAGAATTCAGACATGAACTCATGATTTAAAACATGCAGTCTGTCTGATACCGTGTGATGTTATATCACCCAAGGCGACGCCAGAATTCAGACATGATCTCATGATGTAAAACATGCAGTCTGTCTAATACCATGTGATTTTATATCACCCAAGGCGACACCAGGATTCAGACATGATCTCATGATGTAAAACATGCAGTCTGTCTAATACCATGTGATTTTATATCACCCAAGGCGACACCAGGATTCAGACATGATCTCATGATGTAAAACATAGTCTGATACCTTGTGATATTATATCACTCAAGGCGACACCAGAATTCAGACATGATCTCATGATGTAATGTGTGACATCAGAATTAAGATGTAACTTCATCATGCAATGTCATCAATAATGACATCAGAATTAAACGATAACCTTGTTATATAATGCCACCAATAATGGCATCAGAATTAAGACTTCAACTATGCTAAATAATTCATTTATATGATAAGAGTTCAGACAATGGACATGATTTTATATCAAAATTGTTGAAGGACTACAAGTTTATGACAAGTGCCTATATATACTGCGTCTAAGAAGTCAACCTGAAGTACTTACCCCATCAGTCATGCCGCCCCAGAAGTTGGAGTAGGTATCACCTACACTGGCATTAAGCATGGGTGCTACTATGGCCCTAAAACATATATATCATATAAAGTTTCAGAAAGACCTGAGATGATTCAAGTTTAACACAAAGGTGAGAAATGAGGCTACAATGTATTGTAATACAACCCAAAGTGCATCACTAAAATCTCGTTTATACTAAGTTATAATTTAGAAAGTGAGTTTAAAAAGAATATGGCAGACATACATCATCACATGAATTTTCACCAGGTTCTTATGTAAAACGTACTCATATTTGCTGGCCTACTTACAATTTTGAATGACCTTTGGCATTTGAATGAGTTCTAGGATGAATAAAGTCAGAATTAATTATCTCATCGCTAAATTACCGTAATAAAATTTACCTAGACACATGACATGGTCATTATTCTTATAATTTGGCTCCAGAAAAGTAAAGCGCTGAAAACTTAAAAGCCTTATGGTAGACAGTAGTCTACTTTGGCAAAATTCAATAGAAACATTCTATTTATAATACAATAAACTTTATACCTTTCCTCGTTCATCAGAAGAGTCAATGTTTGTGGATTTTCTAAAACAACATCTGCATCGATCATCTGCAAAATAAACATCTTAGAAAAAAACTTGATCTTCATGACAAATAACTAATACATAATTTCACATTTTTTATTTCGAATTTATTAACTTTTCAATATGTATCCTAACCTTAATAAGCAATGGGGCAGTTACCTCTTAAATAAGTAAATATTAGGTTCTAGGCTTGAATTATCCATTTTGATTTCATCTACTGGAATATGGAATCCTGTAAAACACATAAGATATTTCAGGGGGTGGGCCTATTATTTTACATAGGTTTCTCACCTGAGATGTAAAGTGGGTTAAGTCTACATCTACAATTGTATGGTCTATCTATATATATACACAAGTAAGGTCTTCTCACATATTCTTCACTTACAAAGAGGTAGTCTGCCCATATTTTCCGTGCGTTATCCAATGCTGCCTGGCGAAGCTTCATGACGTTAGTGAACCGTTCATTGCTCCAGTCGCATGGTCCTCGCTCATCAGCATACTCTGTAAGTCAATCAGATGACAAACACAAACTTAAGCTCCGAATTCATCAACATAGGCTATATGGAAACAAATTCAAAGACCTACAAGACCCGTATAACCTGTCGTTATTTGCTATTTAAAAACAAAAGAATTTGCTATGTCAAATTGCAATAATAACATTTGGTCAGAGCAGTATTAACTCATTCACCCCTGAAATTTTATGATGAACTATTCCAACCTTTGAATTGGAAGAGTTCAAATTTGTCCTCAGAGGTGAATGAGTTAAAGAAACATTTGTACTAATTTTGGTTCCCATCAACTTGGAGGAATCAAACCTAAGGATTAGTCTAAAATGTCTCAGCCAATCAGGAGACAGGGTGCCATTATGGATTTCAAATCAACACAGAAAATAAAAAACACTTGGTCAAAACCATGATTAATTTGGTTAAAATGGGCCAGGACAGACTTGAGAAATAAAACCAGCTCATGGGCCTTAAGTCACTGGAATTTTATACATCAAAGTCATTAAAAAAACCCACACCATTCAATGAATTATATTACTAATGAAAAATGATAGTTTTAGTCTTTTGTTCTATAGATTTAGTTAGCAAGTAGATCCTATACTCCAAGGGCCAAATGGCAAGACCAAGGAACATTATTGACGGATCAGAAGAGGATTTTTTAAGTTTCAGCTACTTCTCTCATTTCATAGCTGCCCAAAGGTGTTGGGAAGGGGTGTCAGGATACCGATTCTCATACATGTATTATAAGACATGCAGCCCATCATCATATTTCCTCATTCCATTTGTCTGACTGACAATCACACATGATAATTCTTGGTCAGAGCAGTATTAACTCATTCACCCCTGAACTTTTATGATGAACTATTCCAACCTTTGAATTGGAAGAGTTCAAATGTGTCCTCAGGGGTGAATGAGTTAAAGAAGATCTCTAAACTCAGTAGATCACTCGGCTAAATCAGTCCTTTTGAAATTGAGTTTTAAGTTTGAAATGGATTTTCAATAGGCCAGCCATGGAAGCAATATTTATTATTTTCTAGTCGACCCAAACAACAACATTTATGTCAGGATCATCCTGATCAGTAGCTCATCTTTACCAAGAATTAGTTAAATCAACCTATTAAAAATCTAACTTCTGATTAAAAAAAATTGGGATGAAAATCATTATATATACAGAAAATTAATGTAAAAATGAATCACATATATATATACGTCCTATATTTACCTTGATCATATTGATATTGTACATCAACAGAGTGATACTGGTCTTTAACGGCTGCTAACCACTGCTTCAGCATGCGTACAGAGTCATCTTTATTGTGATCACTTCTGATCCTATTAAGAATAGAAATATATATAAGATTCATATAATCATATCATATGCCAAATAATATAAACACCACAATCAGCAAAACATCTGGTTCATCAAACTTGATTCCATGCAATAAAATATGTTATAAGCAACAACTTTTAAACATTTTAATATATCACCCATACAGTAATTGTGCAGAAAAGAGCACTGGTTGTTTTGAAATATTTGTAACCAGGTGCAACAAAGGGGTGAAAACATTGTCATACTTGCCAACTCTCCCTATTTAGGAGGGAGACTCCCTATTTTGGACCCTCAAATTTAGCATTTTTAACCGATGAATTTGCTTAACTATTCCTATATTCCAAGACATATGATTACATCTGAAAGAACAACACAAAACAGTTCATTTTAAAGTGTTATTTGGTCCCTAGGGGGTATATAAACATGTAACAGGAGAGGAAAAATCGCGGCCAGACCAGGGTTCGAACCTGAGATCTTCAGAACTTAAGACGGACGCTCTACCAATTATAGTTATCTGGTCGCTGACAATCGACCCAGTCCAGTTCCGCTACATTCCACCCTCCTTTTTCTAAGTCTTTGCCCCCTAAGACACAACTATTTACAACCCAGGTTTAGGTATCCTCTTAATTGCCAAGCATACACCAAATACTTGAAACAAGGGTTGGTCACAGGCACCACTGTAACAGGAGAGGAAAATTGCACGGCCAGATCGGGGTTTGAGCCTTCCGAACTCTATAGACGTATGCTCTACCAATTTAGCTATTTGGTCGCCAACAATCTACCTAGTCCAGTTCCGCTACATACAAATTTTATTTATTTTTTATATTTGTGCATGCAGAATCTCCTCCATGGAAATTTAAAAAAGGTGGCAAGTATGCATTGTGCTCTGCAAGGTATATGGTAAAATTATTGTGTCACAGACACTTAGTTATTAAGTATAACAATTGTCAGTTGACCGTGTGGTTTAGAGTGTTTGAAAGTAATTGAACTTCTAGGCGTGTGCTTGAACATAAGCATAGTTTAGACACCCAGTATTGGTGGCAACTTGTTTGGACATGTAAACATCATAACTGTTTATTTTTGGATGGACCCTGGTGAACAATATTATAGATTGTACATGTCAAATTGTACATGTCAAATTTTTTAAGTTTGCATGTGTAATAAGTTTTTTTTTCTTTCTCTCTAACATCTTTATTTGTTTTTTCCATTTTTTTTTTTACAAAAGACGTACAGCAGAAAACACAACTTGCATACACTTTTGCTCTCGTACTATGGATATTTAGGGAATATTTTCGACTTCCCCTCAGAGATGAGCATTACACAAGTAGTACCTGTATTTTTGTGACCGTAGAATTGCTGTCTGGAGTGATTCAAAATTGGTTAATACACATCTTGGGCGGCAATCGAATTAGGTACAAGTTATAGGTGCATACATGGATAAATACACAAGACTTGGTAAATAAGCTATGGTATCATTAAATTTAGTTAGAAAAAGAGTCTCCATTTTTAAAAGATATTTTGTTTCCCTTACATGTTGCGATATATTTTTCCACATTATTATTTTACACTATATCTCTCTTTATATACACTTTCTATAAAAAGTGTATCACCTTCCATATGTTGTTTGTAAATGTAATATGTGAATAAGTTGGACAGATTCCTTTGGGAAGCCGGCACTAATTTCTCAAGGAAATATGCCATTATATACTTTTTAAAGATATAGAAGTTGACTTTTAAAGTATGCAGTGTTTTGGTTCTATGCACGTGTTTCATGATTAGTTACTTTACCTAAATGCTTTTATAATTTCCATATTATTAAACTACTGAATTTGAAGTGTACAATTCCACTAGTGGGACTAGTAGATTTTTAAAAGAGAGAGCTTGCATTTTTTTTTTTAATTTACAACGAATATATATAGACTGGATAATTAAGATGTTTATTTCAAATATACCTATTGTAAGGCTCTGAATAAATGCTGGTTAAGTGTATACTATAGTTGAGTTATAAAGTACATTTTATAGATTTTAAATTAGAAGAAACAATTTAATTAACAAATATATCCATATATTATAATACATAACTTTTTGTTTTTACGGCCAATTGAATTTAAAACTGTTGTATTTTTTAATCTAAGTTTATAATGTTCTCTCCAGCATCTGTAACAATGCCGGATTCATTCATTTTAATTGCTATTATAATAACGTGGTTAAAAAACATATATGCAGAATAAACATATTGAAAAAAATCAATTATCTTAAAAGAGAAAGACGAGATAAGACAGTAAAACATTTACCATAATGTTATTCGTTTTTTTGGATATTTCAGTTTATCCAGATACTCTAAAAACCAGGGCAGCACATGCTCTTTGTTTCGAACAAGAATAGCTATCATAACAGTTGGTTGGTTATATTCTGGTTCATCATCCGTATCGTCATTCTCGTCTGCCTCTTTGGCGCTTGAGGAGACAGCCAGACAGAACATCAAATAAAACAAAATTGTTTGGCGACACGTCAGCTGATTTCCAGCCATTTCCAACAACATCAACAGTTCCCGAACATGGGTCGTCGTTCGTCACACGCTTGAAAACCGTAGTACAAGCAGTTTCATGTCAAGCGCTTCGTCTGCAGCTTAGTTGTGATCTCGAATATCAAGGAAAGACAACCGACTGGAAGAAAATATGGCGGAGGTTTTAAACAGTTTCTCGGAGTAAAATTGCACATATTTTGATATTAGTTCCATGAACACGAGAAAGTAGGTGATTAGATGATAGGCTTACGGATGCCAAAGATTAGAATATATACAGATAGACTAAAGAATTGTTATGAAACCTGCGATCGGCACAACTGACTGGCACCTGCCCCCTCGATTTCGTCACTTCTGCAGTTTCTAGTACTGTACTACAGTAGGCCTAGTAGGTGTTATATTATCTAAGTCCGCTGCATTTATTACTATTAAATCATGGTTTTTGTTATGGAGTATGAAAGTCCGAAAGTCATACAAAGACTATCATATGTGGACACTGGACAGAGATATTATCCGAGTATAAACAGTAGGCAAATTAGTGAAATTACAGTCTCATGCAAATGTAAAGTTCGGTAATCTTTCATGATGCAAATGTTTGATTCAGTAATACAGCGCAATTGCATAAAATAAATCTTAAGAAGCAGTTTAGTTTAAATGATGTAAATTATAACCATTGTTGAAACAGCTTGTTAAAAATATTGTTGATTTTGTATAAAAAGTGACTTTTAAATATATATTTTTTTTGCACACGCAGATTTGAATGACTAAATAATGAAAGAATTACTTGTGCTAATACAGCCATGTCATACTATTTCTCGTATAGTACTAGTATTCTCCACATAAATGTTATCTCTACCAATGTACATCATTTTTAACATTTTTTTAGTGAAAAAATATGTGCATTATGTTGCGTAAAATTAAAACAATGCCACTTTATTGAAATCACGGACTTAGATTAATCTAATTCTGTGTTGAAATGAACAATAATGTTTACATTGCCTCTGAAGTCATATTATGTTAATTGCACTGAAATATGATACTATGAAAATGAGTTCTAGAGAACATATGGGATGCTATATATATTTGAGTTGTAATTTTTACCATTTAATCAGCAAACATTTCCGATTTTTTTGCGAAAGCCTAACATATTTTTGGATTGATTAAACCACGGAATTAGATTCTGAGGCCGTGATTAAACGAAAATGCCTTGGGTTTTATTAGATTGATTAAACTACGAGTACTTAGGTGCACCAAATATCCTGACTGTTCTGTACTGAAGTATCCATGTAGAAGAACCATTCCTAGCCGTGACATTGTCTGTGGCATATTGCCTGGATGTAAATCCCCAGTAATCGTATTTCTGTGGAAATATTTCTTCTGGTATGCTATTAGGTAGTTCGGTACCTTACTATTTTTACAAAGAGATTTCTATCACTTTTTACAAACATTTAAAGCTCTTTTTAGGGGGTCTTGAGCATTTCCATCTTTGAGTTCTTCTTGAGTCTGCCCTGTCAGGCGCGTAGCTAGCCCCTTTATCATGTGTAAGCCCGACATGGGGTTGGCGAAGGCAGCCCCCCCCCCCCCCCAAAGAGCGAGCAGGGGTCCTAGAAAAAGTCCTATTTTTTGTATATATATATGCCTATTTACGTGGATCCAGTGTAATTCTGAAGATTAACCGTCGGTATTTATCGAGTCATTTCTAAACTTCATACATTTTTGTACTAACTATTAACAATGTTTCATATCTGAGGAATTACATATGTATACTATATATACTATATATTCAAAACTTAAACTCCACTTTAGAGTATCAGCAAGAAAAAAAACCATCATGAAAACCTATACTTGTCAAAATCATGTGCATGCCCAGACTAATTGGCTTACATGGTAGCTATGCGCCTGCCTGTTAGCCTTGGCTTCATGGATTTTGGAGTCGCTGACAAATTTGCATACTAAAATTATGGTAATGATTACTAAAACGAAAACCAAGGTACTTTTTTTTTATTGTTTTAAACAATTTGCATTATTCAATACTTACCATAACATGATTGAGTCCCACTCTATTCTTCCGAGGAAGTGAAATGAAAAAGAACTCAATTTAACAATGCTATACTAAATAGCTAGGTGTCAGCGAAAGTTAACATCTGTAGCAAATACATTTTTTGCTTTCAACACCGTGGTTGTTTAGAGTCTGAGCAAAGAGAGGTAACCTCCATACTATGGTTAGTATTATAAAACACAAATATCAGTGACCTTCACATTGAAAAGAGAACGTTGTATTTACGATTGAAATCTTATATAAACTGACTTGTCAATCACTCTGACTGTTGTTACCAGTTAATTTGTTCTTTATGAACAGGTTGCACACCATACACTCAATTTTGATTGCAAATGATCCCCGCGATTAATTTCCATTAAAATCGGAACATCAACAGGTAACCGTGAGGTGGACCGTCACCTACTGACACCTGGATAACCTTTGTTGTTTTGTGACTGTCTTGTTATTGTTTATTTTGTTTATTCCATATTGAATGTCAACCAGTGCGTGCCTCAGGGCATCGAAACCATGTTTACATGTAGATGTCATTAAGATAAACTGGATATATGAATTTAAAATACAGTAAAATGTCATTTTGTTTAGATTTCATTAGTAAGAGAAATAGTGATAAGGTTGGTGACTGGTTAAAGTAGATATATAGGGGGATAACAGCATCATTTAGAGATTTATATTGTCAAGGACAGCTTATGCAATTTTTGGTAACATTTCACTTTTATTAAAAGAGTTGTTGTCCATCTGTCATGATTCTATATGAATGTGTATCTATTATCTTACCATGTTGTTCCAACTCCTTTCTAAAAAGTTATGACCCTGTATGTATGATCTTACAACTGAATGCATATCCTTCTTCATATAATTAGTGTCCTTGATTTCATACAGCTTAATTGACATTAAACAAATACTACATTAAATACACATAATACCCAATTCAATGATCAAGACACTAGTGGGTTCAAGCTGTACGGGGATTGTATAATTTTATAAGTTAGCTGGAATAACAGTTAATTTTTTGTAGTATAAAGCTAAAATGATCAATTTCTGTTTCACTGTCCCAACTATATTAATTTACGTTAATGTAATAAAAACAAATTATTTTATCATAAAATTAATTTGAAGAAAATTAAAAATAAATAAAATAAAAATAAATCAGAGGAAGAACATCGATACTGTTATATAGAGTACAATTCATTTTGTTGGGACCAAATTGATATTGATTTATTGCCAGTAATGAAAGGGTATGTATCTTAAGTTACCAATATCAATCTTGAAAGTACCATATATAGAATACTCTTTGTAATTTGTACAGATGTTTATGTGCATGGTCAGTGATTCATTCTTATCACGAAGTTACTATTACAATATACAATGCTGTGTGTACAGAACAATGTATCAATCTAGTTGCAACAGGAAGAGAGAGGAAGGATGCCACTGTGTGTATAAAGGAATGAGTCAATGGAAGTTTTCCTCTGTCCTGTGTATATGTACCCAAGGGTGAGTACGTACTGACCAGTCAGGCGTGCTCTGATGATCATTGATCCAGACAGAATGGATCTGACCTCTGGCTAGCTCTTACCTGTAATGTCCAGTCAACAGGTAAACAGGGGTATATTTTTACAGGTACACAATACTGGTGTAGGGCCAATAAGTAACTGTTGTGAATTGCTAGTCAGTTCTTATATGCTGTATGTGATTATGTAGGTGTAAGTGGAGATGTGAGTTAGACACTGGATATATCTATATAGTAGACGGTCCTGAGGATTGTACCTGGTGAGTATCACTCAGTCTGTGTTACATCCTTTGTCTTATCTTCTGATAGCATGATAGATAGTTCAGAGTACAGAGATAATGATAATGTCTGTTGGTACTCAGTATGATGTATCTATATAGTAGACAGTCCTGAGGATTGTACCTTGTGAGTATCATTCAGTCTGTGTTACATCCTTTGTCTTATCTTCTGGTACCATGATAGATAGTTCAGAGTACAGAGATAATGAATATGTCTGTTGGTACTCAGTATGATGAGTATTAGACAACTTGCTAAACTATTCCTATTTTCTAAGATCTGATGATTATACCTGAAAGAACAGCTCAAAAGATACATTTTTAAAATGTTATTTTTTCCTAGAGTATATTTACGCACATTTTGTTAATGCTTTTAATTCTAAGCACGCAAAGTTGGCAAGTATGCATATAACTTACATGAAAAAGTTTCAATGTAAATGCCATATATCATATGGTTTAGGTCATTTATCACCTAACCACCCTGTTATCAGTGACATAACACCCATTACAATGTTACATGTTTAATACCAGGTATACCAGCTAGCAGAGCTGTGATTGGCTGTAGGTTCCCATTGTTTCAAATGTGATGTCATAACTTCATGGCATCACAGACTTCCAATTACACTGTGGGGTTGCAAAAGAAATATAGGCCTGGATTGAAAATATCAAGATCTTGTAATTCATGTTAGCCTGAGTGTTGTTTTTACAGACATCTGTAAAAAAATAAAATGGTTATGTGATAAACAGAATCTTGCATTCATTTCCGTTCTATATGACATTTATGACACTTATCAAGTTTTGATTGTGGCTTGCAATTAAGAGACTTGCTGAAATTAAAATTCCTAGACTTTTTTGTTTTATAAATCGAAAAAGCCTTTAACTACATTCCCTTCAGTTATAGTCCTATAAAAATGTAGTAGGACGAGGAATAGTGATAAAGATAGTGCCGTCGCTGGGGCTCGAACCCGTGACCCTTGGCTCTCCAGCCCTATGCTCTATGGCTGAGCTAAAGGGAAGTTCCCTACAGCTGATGCTTGTAAGACAACCTAATAAATCCACATCTTTTACACTATTCCCACCTTTAATCAAACACCAACCCAGGTTCATTGACTCCCTGCCAAGGGTTCTTCTACGGCACCGATTTGTGGTAGGATGAGGAATAGGGATGAAGATAGTGCTGTCACTGTGGCTTGAACCCGTGACTCTTGGCTCTCCAGCCTGATGCTCTACCGCTGAGCTAAACGGAAATTCCCTACAGCTGACACTTGTAAGGCAACCTAATTAATCCACATCTTTTACAAAAATATAATTTAAAAAAGGATTGAAGACAAATAGAATCAAATGTATAAGTGCATTATGAATATGTGTCTGTACTCCTATTTAGAATTATAGGATTATAGAGCAACCATGGATAGCCAAGTGAAATAGGGAATTCTATGTTACTAAATAATTTGTTCAATGAAAGGTTTGATGCACCAGTGAGCAGAGGGGTGAGCCGAAATAGGGAAATGGTTTATATATCTAAAACGACGATACTGCTTTATTCGGGATGAAACTATTTTACCTTATTGAGCATGGGCATCCCATGGGCCAAGGGAATCCTACATTGTTAATTTAAGTGAAGGGCGTGATCCTCTTTGCGACAGAAAGGCAGGCCCAACAAGGGAAATAGAAGTAAATCTGCTTTTCTAGATTTTAACTAATTTAATAAAATTATTTTACATGGGGCATCCCTGGACAAAGGATTGCACTCATGTATAAATGAGGTTGGGGCCCCCTAGGGATAATCCCAAAAAGAGAAATTATGGATTATTTTGAAAAGACTATATTCCTTACATACATATGTATTCGTTAAAAATGAGTGAATTCATTTTGACCTAACTTGGCATGGTGCATCCCTATTAAAAGGAATTCAATGTTGTGTAAACAAAGAGTGTGGCTTTGGGAGCAAATTATAGGGCAAGGCTCGGTATGGAAATAGGACAAAAACATTTCTCCATGTCTAATAATATTGGCTAATGTTAAAAAATATTAATGAGCAGCTTATGAGGTGGTTTTTTTTCCTGTCTGATTTAATTTGATCTCCAAGACGTTGATCATCCTAGGCCATTGATTGGAGGATAAATTTTCTACTTCTCAATTTTCATTACACCAATTTTGACAAATCTTTTAAATCAATGCCTTTCTTATGGCACTGACCAAGCAATGTTATTTTTCAAACTAATATACAATTAAAGATGACCACCTAGCTATGAGATGGCCACGTAGCTATGAGATGGCCATCTAGCTATGAGATGGCAATCTAGCTGTGAGATGGCCACCTAGCTGTGAGATGGCCACGTAGCTATGAGATGGCCACCTAGCTGTGAGATGGCAACCTAGCTGTGAGATGGCCACAGCTATGAGATGGCCACCTAGCTATGAGATGGCCACCTAGTTGTGAGATGGCCATCTAGCTGGTTTTATCAACTATATATATATATACACGGCCATTGATAACCTGAACTAAACTTGATCTTGATCAATTGCTGATTATCAAAAGAAACGGATGAGTGACACATGCACTCTTGGTCTCCTATTTAGATTTTATTACAGTGTTTTTCTCTTGACAAAACAAATGATTAGCCAGTGTGTTTCTACTGTTGAATGACTGACCTTGTGATATTGTGTTGATGGACCAATAAGGCTGTAATAATCTACGATGAGCTACCATATTTTACCAGTGATAGCCCAGGGGGCCTGTGCCTGTGTCTGCATGCATGAATACATGTAAAATAATTGGGGGTGGGCATATTACCGGATATGAGCCTGTGTTTTACCGGTCCGGTTATCGTGGTTCACCATTTTGGTTCCAGAAACTACTGATGACCTTCTGAGTTATGCATTACCTTTAATGGAATTCAGTCTCCTGCCTCTGGACACCAACATGCCTGTCTTACATAACTGTATATCTATGATCAATATGCTTGAAATGGAGTCCAATTCAATAAATTATGCAAGTGGACTGTCCAGGTAAATGTAGTTGTATATGGGTATTATGTGAGAGGTCTCCAGAGTAATAAGGGCAGTTTCTCCCACAATCACTGTAGGTTTCCTCGCTCATGACTCATTGGATAAACCTGCTAGGAGTGGGTAAACATTTTTGGTCACCCGCTAGTGGGGTAATTAACACCCTGGGCATGATTTCATTGGTCAATCTTTGATTTATGACGTCATGTAATAATGCTTTTCGACGTTATTTTCCATTGTGAAGTCATGCTCTGGCAATTGTTCCCCCATTGAAAACACACATGATGTAACTTCCAAAGAAAAAATGTGGGTTTTTTGGATAAAATATGAACGTTTTAGGAGAAAAACGTCCTCAAGCTTGTGATGATTATTTATCACGTTTATCTAACTCTCGTTAGTTGATTTTTAAATTATGAAAGACACACGATAAACCTCTCGTCTTTATACAATTTGAAGATTAACTGACTCGAGTTAGATAAACATGATAACCAACCACCACTCGTTGAGGAACCTCTATATGATCCAATATCATTAAATGATACCAGATTGGAACAAAACAATGATTGTTGGATACTGATTACGTGAATCTATATATAAAGTATAGAAGTAGTAGCAAATGTTATAAGGGTTAAGTAATGTAAAATTTGCGAGATAATCTGTCCCTTTGGACACACACAGTTAACAACTGAACTAGTCTGATCAAAGTTTTTCAACTTTTGATGGAAACATATGTGGAGTTTCTACACAAAACAAATTTATTTATTTTTTGTTCAAGCATTTATTATCCTTGATCAAATGCAAACTTTTCCCACAGTTTCTGATATTTTATAAAGTAGTAAGCACTCCTTCTTTAAAAGTACAAGAGGGACTAGCAAAATATTTCTAGAAAAAAACTTTAATAAAAAAATTAAGAATCTCAATTTAAGAAAATTTAATGCCTGGGTCAAAAGCAGGGATCAGACATATTCTAAAGTTAAAACAGCAGCCTCATTCATGACTTTGATCACAGTCAAAAAATGCTTTACCTATTGAGAATTTTAATCACATTTTGTTTTAAAAAAATCCCTATTTCCTTATTTTAAGGTGTTTTTTTTACACTTTGAACAAAAATCAAACTATCCAGAAAAGGTTTCAGATATTTCGATATTTGTTGGAAAGTTCCATATCTAAAAATCCGAAAGTTCACCTTACATTTTTTGTTTTTGGTCAAGGAGATATATTTCAAAATCATCTCTGAATTTTGAATTGTAACACAAACCGATGTGAATGTTTATACACCATTATGTTTAATTGGCTAAGACATTTAATGTGTTGTCACAGACTTTGTTATTCTTATAGATTGCTGAGAAGAAATATGGCTCCTTATCATAAGGAATTTTTCATAATAAAAGCAACATTATGTTTCATTGATGAATGCAGAATAAAATGATTGGTTATCAGTAAATATTGTCCATTAGTTTGCTATAACACATGCCAATTCTGCAATCACCTGATTGGTTATCAATAAATATTGTCCAATAGTTTGGTATATAACACATGCCCATTCTGCAATCACCTGTACGGCACCTAGGTAATGTGATGAGCAATCAATGAAAATAAAAATACAGTAGCTATATATATACATGTAGAGGAACCAAGACTTTCCCTTTTTGTTCAAATATACCGGGTAATGCCGGGCTAAACATTCAGTGGTCCTGAGTTAGAATCTGGATCTGTTCCTTATTTTCCACTCCTGTTGATATTGCCACTACTGCCTATATGGTGTAAACATAAAAAGTAATATTTAGTCCATCAGGTGGTGAGGTGTGATTTCATTGAACACTGTATATAGAGATTATTCGCTTTGCTCAGTAATATTAAGGTGGAACTTGAATGTCAATATTGTGTACTAAATGTATTGGTTTGATTGTGTTACAGATTAACGGTACATATAAACCTTAAAAAGTACAGACAGTAGGACATAGCGTGAATGAATT